GCTCAGCTGTTTATGACATAAAATTTGCAGTTACCCTGTTGAAAAAGATCTTTAAATTTAAAAGATTTTTTTTCAAACGTGGCTATATTACCCTAAACCTTATAGCAGGAAATAGAAATAATCTCAGAGCAGCGGTTGTCTGGCAACAATCACAGATGAAAAAAAGTAACAATTAACCTAATAAATCCTAACTCCATGCTTGGACCTGAATTTGTGATTCATTGCTTTGCAATGCAAAATTAATGCTTTAAAACAAAACCAAACAGTTTCACTGATGGGCTCACAGCCAGTACCTCTGCACAGAGCAGAGACTTGCTATGGCCATAAAGGGACACTTCACTGGCCAAATACAAAAAAAAATTAAAACCTACTGCTTAGTAGATAACCCCCAAATGAAAATATGTATGAATTTAATTTTTTTTATTTGCTTCATTGCAGGTATATCTAAAAACAACTTTCAAGAGCAGACTCTTGACCGAAGCCTTTGCAATACTTCCAAAACATCCACAACTTTCTCTGGCTATCCAATCATAGACTTCCCACTGCTTCTGAATGAGAAGTCTTTGCAAGGCAGGTGCTCCGGGCAATTTCAGCATCTTGAGTTTAGGTCCACTGAGCTAAACAAACCAGGAAGTAACAGGACCGGTTATCTGATTGAAAGCCAGGGGGTGTAACAAGATTAATTTATATGTGCCAGTTTTTATTAAAATCTTCACTTTTGGTAAAAGGAAAAAAGAGAGGACACACTCTTCACACATAAAGCATATCAAAAAGCTTAAGTGCTATAAGGACCTAGTGGGTCCCTTTAAATGTAAAATTCACTTTAAATCAGAACTTTAGTGAATAACCCTATCAATAGGAGTTGGTGAACCGAACCATGGAAAAAGTTGAAATCACAAAAGATTTGGCCATTTACCAATACCAGAGTGTATGTGAAACCTACGAAATACCCCCCACCCACCCTCCTTCCACACACATATTATTTCGGACATAATGAGCAAATAAATAAAAATAAAATACTCTTAATTTATTGTTTGTCATCCCTAAGTAACAATATACACATAAAGATTCTGCTATATGACTTAGTTTCATGGTGGAAAATAAATATGAAGTGAAGAGGTCAAGTCAATGTGTGGCTTTCTCAACAAATGTTTCTCTCTTACAGCTACTTTTAATGTGGCTGTTAATAATTATTACTAATTAATATTATGAAATCTCTACAACAAATTTGCAATGCAACTCAATAGGTTGGAGACCAAAACATTTTCCTGTGTTGCTATAGTTTTGTTTTTGACAATTATGAGGTTAGCGGCCTCTGCGTATTTTCATTTCTCATAAGTCATCACTTGCATATGGCATCTCACTCTGCATGTGCGTAAAATCATTGTGCACTAGAGTACAATAGTGATGCAACTCCTGGCAGATGAAGCTATCAGGCGCTAAAGACGGAGACACAGAAAATGGCATCAAGATGGTACAAGTGAAAAGCTGTGATGTTCTAAGGCCTTCATGTGGAAGGACCTCTAATGGCCTCCAAGCTGACAGCCACTAATAGTATGATATTGTACAAATGTAAACATGGCTGTTTCTCTGAAAAGAGAAAAAAATGAGAAAAGCATCTATACACCAAAACCACTTAATTACAATTATGATTCTATCCCTTTAAAAAAGACACAAGTCCATCAATGTCAGACAATTTATTTATCCAATTAGAAAAGTGTTGACCAAGTAAAAGACTTAGATTCAGATGTGACCATTGGGGGTTCCTGCACAGGCCCTATCCTGCATCAAAATCTAATATCAGCATCAGCTACATCATAACTTGTTTTTCTACACAATTGAATCTAATTGATATTCTGGGTGGGCCTTTCAGAATCTTCAAAAAAGATGAGTCATAATGTTAATTATTCCCATGTTTGCAAATCGATAATTTATTAATGGGATACATTAGAAATGAAGGGAAAAAAATATACAAAAATAAAAAAAGAATTAGGCAAATAGTTTCATTCTAAATTTTTTTTTTTTTTAAATTGAATATGTTTAAGGTGCAGAGACTTCACCCGCTCTCAACTCTGAGTGAGTTTTGGAAATCCAATCATTTGTAAGAATTGCAGCAGCTGTTAGACAGCTCACCAAAGATATCAATTGGTTATGGATTGCCTATATAAATGTTCCGGATGTGCCCCAATTCTCTTTAAAAAAAAAACAAAGCACTTTTTAAAACACTATGTATGTTTTGACTCCAGACCAGATTCCTTTTGGTTTGCGCACCCCACCCCCATCTTCAGATGTCCCCTTGGAGGTGATCACAGGGAAATAAAAATATGAGTAGGTTTTAGATAACAATATCACTTCAATTATAATTTTCTTTAGCTATAGAGGAGATATATCAAAGCACTATCACTATAATTGTTTTGATTTGACACAGAATTTTTATGAATTGTGTTTTTTATCACATTAATTTTGCATTATATATATATTCACAATGATCTTACAACAGATTAATTAAATACACTATAGTTATTTAGCACTATTTAATTTGTTTCCTACATTGAAATTACTGTACAGTGGTGTTATTATTATTATTGCCATTTATATAGCGCCAACAGATTCAGTAGCGCTTTACAATATTGTGAGAGGGGGGATTAAACTATAAATAGGACAATTACAAGAAAACTTACAGGAACGATAGGTTGAAGCAGACCCTGCTCAAACGAGCTTACATTCTATAGGTTCCTCATAGTTTAGCTCAGTGGAGTGAAGTGATGTAGTGGTGGGATTAACACAATATGGCCATATGGTGGAACTGAGAGAGGTGATTTTTAAGTAACTGTGTAAAATATTTAACTGTATTTTTGTGCGTGTGCTGTTCCTTCATCTGTATTTTGTATACATTTTGATCTCTACAGCAGCACTACTGCTGAGAAATGCATGTTCCGGGTGTGCCCCCCAAATTTCATTTTTTTTAATACTATACCTACATAAATTAGATCTAGCCACTGAAGCTATTTCATGCAAAGTACTTATCTAGAAAGCCTGTGAGCTTGCACATGCACAGTTATTGACCATGCTTATTTATATTTTTTCAAGTTGTGATGGTCCGCTTGGTCATTATTTACGGCGCTGCCATCTTAACTTTTCCAAGTTGGCAGACACTTCTGTCTATCCTAGCGCGCACCTGGTGAGGACCTCTGGATTCTGTGGACTTGTGTTGACTCTCTGGATCTAGCAATAGTCAACACAGTGATAAAACAACTCTGGAAGGTGCTTACAAGTTGACAGCCAATAACAAAGTTGACAAAAACTGTGGAACTTGACTAAAGCTCCACCTCTTTGTCAACTTGCAGTTTATACATAAGGAACAGTATTCACTATTTTTCTTATGTATAACTTTTAAAAAAATAATTAAAAAAATCAAAGGAAACAGGGATGCACAGACTGACTGGTAAAACATGAATAAGTAAAACGTGTGAGAGCTGCCTTCAATGTGGATGACGTAGCTTTATGTGTGTACAAGACATGCGCAAAAATTAAAAAAAAACACAAAGAGAAAGTAGGCAAAGCTGCTCGGAGATGCAACAACAGACAGTAAATTTATGTCTCAGGTTTAAAGTTTGTCTGAGTTATGTCACCTATAATTGTAAAAGAAGCAAAAACATAGTGACAGATTTACTATAACATAAAAAATAACAATTATCATTTATATTCCATGGAAATCTACCCATGTCCACTCAAGCATGGAACAATTTTGGTTAGCCTGGGGTTCAATGATAGCTGGAAACAGTCCTGGGATAATATACTTACCATTATACACATTGCCAAGGGAATCGGTTACAAACCCATTACTACTGTAAATATATTGTCTTACAAATTATTTTCTGTATCTATCCTGTATACTTTCCTATTTTACACTGAACGGTGTCTAATAAACAAACTAATCAATATATATAGTTCTTCGGACCACTGATAAAATGTTACAAACTGTTTAATGAAACAAGCATGTTCTGCTGTTAAAATGGGATTGAAAATCCGCAATATACTTTTTTTGTCACTAGATGGCGATCTGTCCCCTCGCATTGCAGTTCCAGGACCATGCATACACTTTAATATGCTGAATAGGAACTTCTTTCTGATTACTGATCAAGAAATTAAAATGTGCTCCGCTAGAACACAACGTGACAGTGTTGAAAATGAACAATATGTCAGTCTGCGGTTAAATTTCTTGCTAATGTATACCAAATGGACACTCAATCCCCCCACCATCACTGAGCAGTAATTTAAATATATGCCAAACTAAAAGGCGGATTGGTGATATTTTCATTAAGAATTCTCTTAGAAAGTGATTTTTATTTTGTTTTATAATTTTATAAACATCAGAAAGCAGACCCAATAAAAGGGCAAATATTCTACATAAGATACATCTGATATGTACAAATTAAATTGCATTTCATGCAAATTAGTTGTGTTTCTGTAAAGCTGATATGTTGTATTAAGGCCTCAAAGATGAGCAGGATTAACTGTTAAAGCGCGCACGCGCGTGTGTGTATTAAATGTTTTAGTTATAAAATATGCAAAAAACGACAACATTGTACAAAAGATAAGTAAAACACACAACTCCTAGATTGTAAGCTTTTTCTTATCAAAATCTGTAATAGTTTTTTTCATTTATGGTTAAATTACCCTTAATTTAATGTACAGCGCTGCGGAGTAAGTTGGCGCTATATAAAGGCCAATATTAAAAATAATAAATGTTTAGTGATAAAACAAATTAAGCAACAAATGTTGCCTATATGGCTGCACAAACAATATTACAGCCTACATGTTTATACAGTATGATGAAAAAACGTTATGTTTTGCTGGAAAATAAATATATCTGAGCAACAAGCGTTTATTATGTATGTAAATAAATAAATAAATAAATATATTTACATGGGAGGGATAGAAAAATACAATTAATAGTAAAATGTTAACATTATTTACTAAACTGGGCATGGTGAGGAATTGAACAGGAATTGACAATTTACTGCAAAATAGCCAAACTGTAAAGATTTTACAACTGTTTAGTAGAACAGATAAACCGTTTTGTGTTTTCAAAATGTCTTATTTATGTGCACGTACTCCCTTAAATTACAAAAAGGACTCCCTTGAGACAAACATGACAGAATCATATATAATGGTGGTGTAAATTCGATCTATACATTTGGCTAGATAAACCATTCACAAATGTATAGGTATAAATGATTTAAGTAAGTGAACCCACTATTAGATATCAAGATCCCCGGAACAGAATGTTTTTTGTTTTTTTTTAAAGGCCTCCAGAAATGTGAACAAGTGGAGGTGTGAATAAACTTGCTCTGTGCATTGTTGCTTGCAGTCACGCAAATCCATGTTTTTGGCAGCCATTTTAGAATAGGTATATGCAATCATCAGGTATTTAATTTTATTAATCTATACATTTGCTGGCGAGTTTGCAAGAACATTGTACAGATCATGTTCATACTGTCACCCACGTATATTGAAAGGGGGAAAAAAGGAATGAAGCTATTTAGTAAATATTTTTTACTGCAGATTCGCATAGCTTGCACATAATGTTGAATAATAATGTTGAATAATATTACCAAAGGTGACGCTCTATATACCTTCTTCAGAGGTTTATGGGATATGGAGATTGGATGAAGGGGGGGGGATAGATTCACCTTTTAACAACAGTAAATGGAAAGCTGGGCATATTGCTGCAGTGATAAAGAAAATCATAAAGGAAAATGAGGGCAGAATGGAGTCTATGAGATAATAGGTTCAGTACTTTCATGTGCTGGGAATAATTTTAGGGATATACATGTGCTTCTGTTAAATAGGGACCAGTATTGCCTTTTTACAAATAAGATTTACTCCAGCCTGAAGTGTGCCTGGAGTGAGATGATGGGGAGAGTCCGCTGTCCTAGTTCAAGTCTCACAAATATAAATAAACAAAGTCACTCTAAAATTCACAATATCTGCACAGGCATAGACGACACATATAACTCTGGCAGTACTTGGTTGTTATGCTGATCTTTGGGAATGACACCTAGACTTGGCATGCAGAAAATCAAAAACTGTATAAAGAAAATGTAATTCTTTTATTTTGGCAAAATAACCCTTGCAATGTAGTCATGGGTTTTAGACTAAGAATGGTGGTAGATATAATCCAGCAGTCATTATTACCCGTATCTGTATTATCTTTTGCCGAATACTGGATTATCTGTCTCGAACTGAGTAGTTTAATTTGCCCCAGCTAGATTAATGCGTTGTGATATGGTAAGGATGGTCCAGAGTCACAAGCGTCCCTTTATTATGGGATCATACAGACTGACAACTTTTTGACAGTCATTAAGCACAGTACATCCTAAGCCCTTAAAATATAGTGTGAACAATTAGACAGCTGACTCAAAAACGGATGGGATCTTTTGGATATGAGGTTATAGTCAAGGTAACAATTCACAATCGAAAATCACGTGTTCAGTAAACATTACAACATATATCCTAAAGTTAGCTATCAGTAATAAGATCAATATAGTAAAAAGTGGAAAATGTGAATAGATGGCTGAATGGGAAATAAAGTGCATATTATAATATTAACACATAAATTTATAAGATCTCAATCACGCATATGTCCTAAATACCATACTTGGAGTAATAAATGTATTTACCTAATTTTAATTGTAAACTTTTATTTGATATACTTTAAACGTTTTAAAACTTCAAACATGTTCTGATGTTGATACTTTTTTTTTCACAGTAATATATCATCTTATATCAATATATGCATCTTAAATATTCAGTACACCGTCATCTCATGAATACCAGCAGAGGCACCAGAACAACCTTTCTAATCTTCACCGATGGACAGTATACTCCGCGATTCTAAAGAAAGAACACAGAAAGAGAGGAAAAAAATTACAGACGTGTTTAATATATTCATTAGATTTGTTTCTGCTTTTTAACTCTTTGATCAAAACAATTCACATTGTAGAAGTAATTTTAGCAAATCCCCCCTTGTCTTGGTACTGGAACTACCACTGGTTTATACCAATTTAAAATTTACAGTTGTGTATCAATTTCATTCACAAGTAGGACCTTGGGTAAAGTCGGCCCTGAATGTGCATATGTATAAACCAGTGGAAGTTTTATCATGTTTGGCCCCACCACAGCATATCTAGTACTTAGCTATATGTTGACTAATAGTCTTTAACTCCAAGACCAGAATTAGCACAATACTGGGGATATGAATGTTCAAAACAAATGTTTATGGTCCATGCTTAGTTTCTGCTCATTGATCCTTTCAGATAGCAGAGTGAGGTCTAAAACAGAATTTGCGGAAACATCAAAAACATGTGCTATAGTTGGACATTTCCCAAGATCCTCTTTGAGATATGCAGATTGGGCACAACAGTAAATTGTGAATTTGCACACCTAGTGAAGAGTTCTATCATGTTTGGTCTCACCGCAAGTCACTTAGTACCTAGCTATATACTGTAAGAAAGACTACAGTGTCAGGACCAGCACAATGCTGATGAAACCAAGGAGGTTAAAACGGTATGGTTGGTTTCCAGCAACTGGTTCTTCAGGATCACAACCCATGCTCTGTTTAAAACAGTGCTCCATTGCTTAGAGTGTCTGCAGACATGCAGGATGAAGCCTGAAACATAAAGACTTCCTGTCAACCAATGAATTTGGGGATAATTAGGAACTTGATTTCTTGGAATTACTGTGTGGAAGGCAAGCTTTTCCAAAAGTCCTACTTACCTTGTCTATGTATGTATATATGTAAATGTGTGTGTATATGAAATATGATTGTAGTGAGACCAAAAACGATAAAATGTCCCACAGTGCAACAAAAAAAGAAATGACTGTCACTTTAGTACCTTAGCTATATGATCACAGAGACATCAAATTTCAGACCAGAACTGGAGCCATGCTATTAAGACTCACAAGGTCGAAACTATAATCCATGACTGATTTCTGGTAACTTGTCCTTTTGGATCATAGCACATGCTTTGGTTAAAAAAAAAGTTTGTTTTGTCTAAAACAGCGTTCATTGCAAAGAGTGTGCACAGAAATGCAGTATGAAGTCTGAAACATGGTGCCTGTCTGTGCTCATTTGCATTTCAAGCTGGGAACTCTGGGATAGTTGTGGAAACATGATTTTTTACATTTTTAAACCCAAGGAGGACCTCCAAAAGTCCAATGAGTTACTCAGGTTTACTCCTAAAGTGAAATACTAATATGTTGAGTGAGATTTGAGATACATTGCAGAGAAAGTGTTAAAAGCCAGCTCTCCTGTCTCATGAAAGTATCCTACATCAGGTATTTAAGGCATTTCTCCTACAACAGACATGGGATTTTATTCACTAAACACTGAATTAAACTAAATTAAAAAAAAAACTTAGTGCTAAAATAGCTAGGATGTGATTAAGGCCAAGTCAAAGAATTTTTCCAAATCAGCAATTTTTGTCTTAATTTTACAACTCAGTTGTGGAATAAAACACACAAAACTGGGTCACACATGTTATGCACATCCTCATCCTTGTGACTTATAAGGAACGTCCAAGCAAACTGAAAAGGAAACCTGCTTTGGACATTTATTTACGGGGTCAAAAATGCTAAAATTATGAAAAATATTCTGTAAACAGTATAAATCAAATATGATACATCATCACGGAACATGTTGGTATTTAGAACTCAATATATAATAGTGAAATAACATGATATGCTTTTGTACATTTATTATGGATTTTTCTTTTCATATATTGTTTTGAAAATCTTTTTTGTACACTAACAACATACAACAACATTTTAACTTTCCAATACCAGAGTGTACGCAATAAAATTAAAAACATATATACTACATTCATTTACACTGAAAATAGTAAATATTAGCTGATTTTATAGGTAAATCAGACGGAAAAAATATGAGTGGTAGTTGCCTTTAAATTTTTTATTTAAACACCACTGAATTAAATTTATAACAGTTATGTTTCACTTAAACTGGCCTACTGATAATTCTGATTGGTAGCTAATCTACTAATAAACGGTTATGAAATACACAAGCAGACAGTGTTACAAATCTGCTCACTACCAAACCTAATTTAGAAACATAGAATGTGACAGACGGTAAGAACCATTCGGCCCATCTAGTCTGCCCAATTTAAATACTGAACAATATATGGCTGACTAAGAGTTATGGGAGTCATTGCAGGAAGGTTGCCACGCCCCAGGTTATCCTTATTCTGACAGTAATTGCTCATAAGGAAAATGTGTAAAGTTACAATATATGATTCAATCCTTATACTATATAAATATACAGTGCTTGAACATTTCATTAATATTGCACATGTTTCTTAGTACAAATGCCCAAAAATAATGGAATTATTTTTCACTTAACAAGTGGTGGGCAATAATGCAATAAGCGTTGGTTCAAATATGCGGCCTTTATATACACAAGATTTACATATATCTCTATCACATAAATGTATATGTGTTATGTTTGAGAAAAAGAATCCAAGTGTACGTAAGTCCATTTATAAAAAAAAAAAAGAAAAAAGAAAAGTATTATATTGGAATAATTGTGTGAGTATATCTTAATTTCACACACATATTAAAATAGGTACTTTTTTTTTTTTTTGTACTTTGCTTTTAGAATGGTTTGGCATTAGTTAAAAAAAAATTAAATGCTTTATGGCTTGAAAGGAATAGAAAAAAAGTATTTTTTAAAATGTTACACTTCACAGATTTGAGTTGTATTTACAGGAAAACAATAAATATATTATACATTGAAATGTAATATTATTATGTATATCATATATCATTTATAGTGCATAACTAATATATATATATATATAACAATAATATTGAATATATAAGTATTCATTGTACATACATATAACTATAGTTCACAGCAAGGACTATGGATTTATATTGTATAGTCTGGTATTGCATGCTGTTAATCTAAATGGGACTGATTTATTAGGTGATAAAATATCTGTACTGGAGAGGGTCACCCATGTACACTGGGGGGTCCCCCTGCCAGATCAGGGACACAAGATGGGGATTCCCTGGGGCTCTAGATGCCTTTGGGGTTAAGGGGGGGTGGAGGAGAGGGGGCTTTGTCCTGTGTATGAACTTTCACCTCACGAACTCTCCTCTGCTTTTACTAGTGACATAAAAGTGGAGTTCTCCCCCTTTGTCCCTTTTCCTGCACACAAACCCCACTATACACTGTCTTAGAGCAAATAAGGGTATTTGAGAGTTCTCTTTAAAAACGAGATATATTTTTAAACCCTCCATCATTCAACAACGATCTCTTGTTAACACTTTAAGGTCTAGTGCATCTTGTGACACATTACAAAATACAGTGTCAATAGAGTTGCAAAATACTTAAGCACAAAAATAACATATGAATAATAAACTTGAAGAAGTTAAACACAAAGCATCATAATAAAAACGTGGACACGACCAAGGCAGGCAAAAGACTAACATTAACAGAACTGCTCCAGAACTTCTTATCCTGACAAAAAAAAACTGTCAATCACCACTGTTCTAAAATTCTACAAAAGGAATGTCTGATGGACAGCTCTGCTCTCAAGACATTCTGCAGCAGCTGCCCCCCTCCAGTTTCCCAGTAAGTGTTTCTTACACACACACTCCCACCCAAAACAACCCATTTACCATTTTTTACTTGTCATCACACCCATGCATTGCCCCAAGTACCCCCACCCAATATAACCCCTTCATCAGTACCACTCATCCCAGAAGTCTCAACAACTCCCCATCTAAACAACTCCCCACCTAAACAATTAGTGTGCCCTAAAAAAACAGCCTCCCTCCTACCACCCCCTTTTATTATATTACTTTTTTTTTTCTTCAATAAATCCTGCATGCATGCTCTTGTTCTGTCTTGTTGTTTACCCAGCAGGTGGATGTGACGTCAGGGACTCAGCACAGCAAAAAACAACAACATCTAAATCCGCCAGTCCAGCGTGGGCACCAACTAAGCAAAGTGAAGAAGAAGAGAGAGAGAGAGAGCTGGGAGAGAGAGAGAGAGAGAATAAAGAAAAATAGTCCGAACAGGAAAAAAAAAGAGAAGCCAAAAAGAGGAGGGAGGGAGGGGGGAAAGACTGATCCCATAGAGGGAGATAAGAGAAAAGCCAGTGCCAGGGAAGGGAAGAGGAAGGGGAAAAATAGCTGTGAGCTGGTCGGAGCTGAGAGACAGCCCCAGTGTGTGTGGCCCCTGGGAGAGCAGGCTGTGTGCGCCTCCACCATCAGAGAGCGCCCAGGATAGCGCCTGGACAGCCCCAGCCATCCAGCCAGAGAGCCAGAGAGCCAGTCCCGGCCAGGGCGGAGGGATCTATTGTTATTTATTGTGTGGCTGTTGCATGCTGTACTTGCAGCTCCTGGGATCGCATGTGTTGCCTGGGCAATTAAAGGGAAGGAATCATATTCACAATAATTATAATTATAATAATAATAAAAAAAATAACACTCACTCACACTCACTTACAGGGTGTCTGCTGCCCGGACAGCGCTGCTGCAGCGGGTGAGTGTTCCTGGCTGCACTTTCCTGCCTCTACTATTGTTTATTGTCTCTTTTTCTGCTTTTACTTTCTTCTGCAACTTGTATATTTGTATCTTTCATTTTTTTTTTTTTATGCAAAACCTCTTTCTTTTTTTCCTTTTTCTGTCACTCTTCCCCTTTTTGCTTTTTTTTTTTTTTTTAAAGGCATGACTGTTTTGGGGGTTCTCTTGTAATTTTAACCTGGATACTGTTTGCCCAAGTTTAAGGGGTAACCCCCACCCCCTCCCTCTTATCCCTTGTATCTGGATACCAGACTTCAGAGTTGCCCATTGAAAGAGACTTGCTTGTGGTTAACAGAAGTCTGCCAGGGAGCAGTGACTAATGTTGCTGGAGCTTTTTTGCAGCTAGCCCCCCAATAACTGCCCCCACATGCTGGAGTGTCTTACAGCTTGCCATGTAGCATGCCAACTTGCTGGAGGTTACTGCAACAAACTTGGCAACTATAATTAAACACGTCTGACTCTTTTCTTTTTACATCATGCCCCTTATAGGTGCTTAGTTACAGGACTTTCTGTAACCTACCTCCAAAGCATGCCCTGTTATTAGACTGTTCTATAATGTGCCCCTTAAATGTCCAGATAGTGGACTTTTCTGCAACATGCCCATTAGTTGGCCAGTTAGTGGATTTTATGCAACTTCAAAATTGCAGGATTTCTTTCTACAAACTGTCCCAGGGCACCCGAATTATTGAACTGTTTTGCAGCCTCCCTCACTATGTACCAAGTTACTTGATTTAGTTCTAAATGTCACTTTTGCCTACTTCAAGGCAGTGTTTGCAATAGTCTTAGATGCCCAGGAGCTAGTCCTGTATTTCTTGCCCTTACCATTTACTAAATGTTTCTTAATCCAGATGCCTCTGAATGACCAAAATTATACTGATGCATAATATTGATTATTAGTTACCCATTTATACTTTTTATTACTGAACTATACTACCACTGTATACCCTGCTTTTATTATATGAATATAACTCTCAGTACTTGTTAATGGGTTTTTATTCTAAATCATATCTCTCCTTCCTCCCATCCCTGAATATCCCTGTGTGTGAATGTTCAGTATTTACTTCACAATTCCTGAGCTTGCTAGTAACTCTAACTGCACTTATCCCATATCTTCTGTGGTTATTAGTAATCCTGAAGTTTCTCCACTTACTTGGGTATTATGCAAGGATCATCCTGGCTTACAGCCCCAGTGAGCTTCACCATTCACTACACTCCTGTGTATAAAACTACCGGTACATCATAGTGTCTTTTCAATTTTCTCCCACTTCTTGGTGCAAGGGGAAGATGGATGGGGTAGGTCAGGGTACCCTAATCTAACATGTTCATGGGTGAAGTGTGCATGTGTTACTAAGGCTTAATTGTCTTGTAGTCTAGTGTATCCTTTAAAATCATGCAATAGGCAGCATTAAAGAAAAAAAAATAACAATTGCCCATTCACGCTTCTTTTATTTTTCAATTCAGAATACTAAGTTATAACAATTCCAATGACATCCCTTCATGAAAACTTTTCTTATTATCCCCTGTCTCTTTACTGTTCCATAAATAACTGCGATCTGTGAATTAATCTCCAGGCTGTACTCTCTCCCTCTCTTGTTTATTAATGTGAATGATGATGATTTCTGATAATTGCAGAATCATGTTAAGTGTTGTCACATTTTGTACAAAATATATTCAGCTGTCAGTTTGTTCTTTCACTGTGTTGTGTTTTCTGGCAAAATAAAAGTGGCTTTATTTATGCCTCAGCTATTCCTAAACACAAGTTTAAAAAAAAAAATACAAATCTGGATTTTATCCTTAACATTTTTATTTTGTCAATTTACAGATCGGCTACACAGTGCATGGATTAATTGTAAAAATCTACAAGCTTATACACATTGTGAATATGCAATATGAATGTATATATTATATATGTATGCACACACAAGTTCGTGTAGGCACCGTAATATCTGTTATAAAGTTCTTTCCAAATTCCAGTGAATGTAGATATTCAGGCTTTTCCTTATAATTACACCAACACTAATTTCCAAGTCTCATTCTACAAATACCATCTGTAAGATAATTAAAAATTATAAACGTTTTTGCAGTTTGAACCATCTGACACGTTATTAATTTGATGTTACTCTAAAAAAAGGACACAAGCCTCCCTCTAATGAAGAAAAAAAACAGATATTTGAAAGTATTATATTTTAAATGCTTTGGTGACTTGGAGATACAAGAGTACCCATGTGCCTTTAATTTAGATGTACATTATTCTATTGATAATATTAACATTTTGGTTGAGGGTTGTACATGTTTAGATTGTGGCAAATATTGCGGTGAATATTTTTCATAAAATACTATCATGTAATGAGGGTATTCAGTTATGGGAATCTTGCGCGATGTTAATAAGCTTTATACTGTAGCTGTACTGTAATTTGATTGCTGATATCGTTTAAAATAAATGAGTAATGTCTGTATGGTCACGGTACCGTATGTGTCAAATCTGCAATAGACTTACCTTTATTATACCTTCTTCGTGTCTTAACCCTGTGTTTACCATCTTACTACATTATATATTTGGGTTCCATCAGCATCCTAAATGCGTAAAGGTGTGTTTGTGTACCTGGTGTTTACATCTCTGTCGTATCAATCAAACTGAATAAACTTTATTTTCCATTGTCTTTTAGATGATTCTACAACTGTGAATGAGCAAGTGTTTTTTATACGTTTTCCTGGCTGGAAATGAAGGCATTCCAATTTTAAATGATGGATGGAAATCTTAATCATATGATTTGTTTCTGAATTTAAGTCACAGATCTACAACAAGGTATGCATAACAAATTTCAGCCCCCCTCTTTATTATATTAAAATATCATCGATTTCTCACATTCGTACAATGCTCATTAGTAGTATATCAATGCTTGTATGTGTTTATTTTTGATGGTTCAAATTCCTATAAAAGACAGAGATATTTTCTAAAAAGTGAAAGTGCAAACTGAAAGTTTTGAAATACGACGGAAAATAAAAGTATTATTGTAGATTTAATGCTTTTTTTTTTTTTAACTTCCTTTTTTGTAGTCTTTGGATTAGTCATTGTCTGAGAGAGAGGGGAAAAAAAATCCCTTTTTTGGGGGAACGTAAAGTAAACAGCCTCCAACAAGTGAACCTTGACAGGTCAGATTAAGGAGAGCAGGGGAGATCAAACAGAACTTCTACTGAGCTGTTGTCAAGAACAGCCTGACTGGAGGCTGTGGGCTAGCAAGTTCACTTATGCAGAAACAGGCTCTCACATACGTTGGTCTTTGTTGAGAAACCAAAGGTTCAGAATTATGAGCACAGTTTCATAGTTATTAAACATGGATTTTAGAGACAACTGAATAAAGAGGTGAAGGGAAATGGTGCATTTAAGCAATTCAACGTTTATAGAAAATTCCTTACTGAAAAAAAAAATGCTTAAGGGACAGTAATCCCACATCTACGTTTCTTAATGCTATATTGAGATTTATTTTTTTAAGCTTGAGTAAAGTTTTACAGCGAAGATTGAATCGCGTAATGGAATTTCGTAGGCTCTGAAGTAGGTATTTTTTTAAGGTGGGTAAGTTTAGCCTTTGGTCTCATTGTGTCATCTCTCTGTTTGTTTTTTTCTATTACTTTTAAAGTGTAAGATTATTTAAATAGTGTTTTAAATCTTGTGACACTACAACCTGCTTATGTTCTGCTTACCTTTTCTGGGTAAGTACATTTTTTATTAAATTGCCATTTTGAGGCTATGTTCTTTTTTTGGTAACTTTCTAAAAACATGTACTCTTTAACTCCTTAAATGATAGAAACCATCTTTTAAATACTGGAGTTTTTTATTTTATTATTGTATTTGTTTTATTCTGCAAAATATCTCTCCATCTGGAATGTGAACACATGCAGTGTTTTTATTATTGCCAGGGACCTATGTGTTGAAGAATGCAGCATGTATCCTTATTTTTCTCCAATTTTTTTTTATTATTTCCTTGTATGTTGTAATGCACCTTTTAATTTAACACTGTGATCTGTAATCATGTATATGTACAATAAAAAAATGATAATTCACACTCGCATGAGAGTTATAGTTTGTCCGAATTAGCAATTTTTGTTAACCTTGAAATTTCTAATATCCTCCATCTTTAAAAACAAAACAATTAAAACCATTTTTAATACAGAAGAGTATCACATTACTAACGATTCATTCATGAAAACCTTTTATTGACATAACACAACTGAAACTATTTGAAAACGTCACTTTATTTTGTATATTTAAAATGGAATATAAAGTAAGCGTGAATTCAATCATTCACTGATTTGTTGTATTGTTACCCCAAAATTATATGGGGTACATGTTATTTTCAAGTGGCCCTTTCATGTATTATCTTTTCAGAATTTTATAGTCTAGCTATCTGTACTTAACCTTTTTGTGTTACTGAAATGTAAAGGGGAAATATATTAGTGTCTGTCAGACCATGCAATAGATTCTGTTTATGGTTTAAGCTACTTTAAGTACTTGCATTGGAGAAACTTGTTTAACCCCTGTAATGAACAGCATTAAGTGTTGAAATTAGAGTTCTAAAAAGCATCAACTGGCCTTTGCTCTTTTGCAATAATCTTAAATTACAGAGACTTTATTGCATCTTCAAGGGACTGGATGGTTGGTCTTTGGAGCAGAGTGCTAGGTGCTACAATTCAGCTATTTAATTGTAAGTGCTAGATCCGTTTCATTCTGTGCAGTCTTAACTGAAAGTGATGCTTTATAGTTCAGAGAGACGTTTAACTCTTTAAATGCAAGGAAGCTTTGGCAAGCAGTGCATACCCTTGAATTAGTCAAAGTATTAATCCTTTTCAGCGCGAGAGGAATGGTCAGTGCACCCTGGCACTGAAAGGGTTAAAGCCCTGTTTGTATTTTTATTATATTATTTTGGTTTCTCCTTATGTATTATAACGGGTATTTACAAGGATACGGGTATTTAAAGGCAAGCTTGAGAGAACAATTTATTTTGTAGGTGCATTGCAATGTAATATATAACTGTAATGTTTCATTCTAATTTTAGTGATTAGTTTGTGATGGGTGGTATGAAACAATTGCACATGTTAGTCTGCCTGAAATCAAATATCACAAGGTTATTCACTATACAATGAAGTGAAGTAAATCCAAAATGGCAAAGTTGGGAAATTATCGAGCTCTCCTATAGTTACAGCTTGGCTAGTTTATCTTACAATTTGTTTTTCTAATGTCAATGCACTATAATTCCCTACCAGTATTCTGTATATCACAAGCATTTTTCAGTACCTTTAAATTGTTGACTTTCATTAATTGTATTAACTGAAAAGCTAATCTAAGTGTCAACTAGTCCTACTATAAGCAAGTATTTTTTATTTATTGTTATTTGTTACAGTAAAAACATTACCCCTGAGTCTTCCACTCTACTTCTATTTAGTGCACCATGCTAATGGTACAGCGCTCCAGAATATGTTGGTGCTTTGTATATAATGTTAATAGCAGCCATCCATGAAATGAAATGTGTAAATGCTATCTCCCAAATAAAACCATAATGAGGTATTTCATTATATTGGCGGGTTAAACATAAGTCTGATGATAAGATTAGTCGTAGTTGTAATGGTGGTGTCTGTTAAAACACTTAAATGCACAATAAAAACACCCACCAACAGCTACACCTGACAGATTTAGGGAGTCATTTAGGGTTTTTGCTGCTGCAGAAGTTGGGGTAACGATAAAGAAAGCTTGATGATGGACCACCGCCAAAAAGGTTAGTCAAAATTGTATGCAAGATGTCCAGCACTTTAAGACTTCCCCATTCCTAATTATTGTCTATGTCTGCTATTATATATATATTTTTTTAAAACCTATTCATATCATTTTAGATACTTAATGCTACTGTAGATTATTGTTTAGTTAAAGGAACTAATGTGTCAGGAATTCAAACGTGTATTCCTGACTCTATAGTGCTGGAATACATCATTAGGTCCCCAGCACCCCAATATGTGAAGATTAAAGGTAGTTTACTTACCTTTACTCCACTGCTGCGGTTGACTCTGTCTCCATCACTGAGATTGTCAACAATTCACTGCATTCCCATAGAAAACCATTGTGAGACAATTGCGCATGCGCAGTAAAACTCTGCGCAAGGCCAATCATTATCTCCTCATAGAGATGCATTGAATCAATGTATCTCTATGGGGAGCGTTCAACGTCTCCATGCAGAGTGTGGAGATCCTGAACACCAGTGCTGCACCATTAGTGGCCGTCTGAGTGACTGCCACTAGAGGTGTTACTAGCCAGCAAAGTAAGCACTGCATTTTCTCTGAAAAGGCATATTTTACATTGCTAAGACTTCAAGGACAGGCTATTCATTGAAGTGTTTCTGGTGACTTTGGTGCCCCTTTATTGGCAAAAGTTTTATTTGATATGTTCTCTGTGTACCCAGTATATAGCCCATTTTCAAACAGTTTGATACTTTGTTCCCTGGACACCTTCAGTGCAGTCTCCATTTATCTAAAATTTCCCTTCCTCAATAGATCAATTTTGTCTATATTTGGACAATATTCATTGGCTGAGAGAGTCAGTTTATGTATTCAGCCAAAAAAGTCTGTCCAAAGGGAAGAGAATTGACATCACTTGGGGGACCCAGGAAAGCTCTAAACAGAGAATGGTGTGACTACTCACCTATGGATGAAATCAGGAGACCCTCTACACTAAACACACTCTACACTTTATACAGTATATACAACAGTTACAACTGTGTGCAAATCTAGCCATATGTATTTGACACTCCCAAACTGCTCTCCTTAAAGGACCACTCTAGGCACCCAGACCACTTCAGCTTAATGAAGTGGTCTGGGTGCCAGGTCCAGCTAGGGTTAACCCATTTTTTCATAAACATAGCAGTTTCAGAGAAACTGCTATGTTTATGAATGGGTTAAGCCTTCCCCTATTTCCTCTAGTGGCTGTCTCATTGACAGCCACTAGAGGCGCTTGCGTGCTTCTCACTGTGATTTTCACAGTGAGCGCACGCCAGTGTCCATAGGAAAGCATTATGAATGCTTTCCTATGTGACTGGCTGAATGCGTGTGCATTCAGCCGACGGGGAGGAGAAGAGGAGGATCGGAGGAGGAGAGCTCTCCGCCCAGCGCTGGAAAAAGGTAAGTTTTACCCCCTTTCCCCCTTCCAGAGCCGGGCGGGAGGGGGACCCTGAGGGTGGGGGCACCCTCAGGGCACTATAGTGCCAGGAAAACGAGTATGTTTTCCTGGCACTATAGTGGTCCTTTAAAGCTGATGAATTAAAGTGAACCTAGCAAGTTCACTTTAAGTTCCTAATACATCATTAGGCAAAATTTGGATAATTGATCTTTATTATCAATAATGTATCTCATATCTTAACTGAGAACTTAGGTTAATGCTTAACTCTTGCCTAGCACCAAGAATGTCATTATCTTCTTGCATTCATGGCTGTTACACTAATGTAACTTGCACCTCCAGTTCCACCTACATTTCTCACTCCCTTCACGAAATGATTGACTCTGCTATCTACACTTCACTAAGAGCAATCATGTTAAAAGTAAGGAGAGGTAGGAGGCGCCTAGGTTTGGGTGGCTGTTAGGAAGGGCAGGAGAGCCATCAATAGGAGGGATTCTCCTGCTTCTCTTTTGTCAATCAATTCTCTGCTAGATGTCAAGGCCAACAGCATAGATCGTAACAATGTGAATTGATTGTTTGAGAAGGGATGTAACTTCCAAATAAAATATGTAAACATTTATAGCTAATTGGCTATAATTTCTGCTACCACAACATGTAGATGAAATGTTATGCTTTTAACATATGATTGGTGTACAATGACAGGTACACTTGTTGTTCTTCTCCCTTCACGGTTGATCTCTCTTCCCCCGGCAAATAAATTGCATATGGCATTAGCTACTCATTTTGTGCAATGTAGAATATGTGATGGTTCTAAGCTGAAATTGCAGCATGCAGATTATTATTGTAAAGATAAGGCATATTCTGTTTCATCCATTTCTTTTTTAAGTCAGGACTCAAATTTATCACTCAAACACTAGCCAATGGTTAGTGAAACATCAGCACTGGTGACTAGAAAGTCTCCCCTGGTGAATGTGTTATAGGCTCTCCAGACTTTTCAGTGACTAGTATCTTTTAAGTTTTGGCTAGTAGCATGGGACTTAACATGTTGAACTATGTTTTAAGGCAAGCATGTCAAACTTGCGGCCCGTGGGCCACATGCGGCCCACAGTGACTATCTTTGTGGCACGCCTGCCCTGGGGCATCTTTGTTCTGTGGCTGCGACAAACTGCAAGACCGGAAACACCTTTCCTGTCTGCTCTGCCATTGCCGATCGAGTGCTACGGCGGCCGCAAGAGCGCTAAGCATTAGTCTACGCCAGCCATCAGATATGCGCATACAGCGTGTGACATCATATCCGGCAGCTGTGCAGTGGTGCTGGTGCTACAGTGCACAGAGTGGCTGTCTGTCAGCAGCCAACCACTACCCCTTCCCACCTGCTCACAGTGCTAGAGAAGCATCTGGCCTGCTTGAGCAGAGAAGAGCAGGGCTGGAACTGGATGACATCTTAAGGTAGGGGAAGAGTGGCATGGGGGACCTTCCTGTGTAGTGTGTTAAATTGGGGAGGGAGGCAGTGTATTAGTTTGGGGGAAGGATGGGGGCAGTGTATTAGAGTGGTAAGAGAGGGGGCAGTGTTTTAACTTAGGGAGGGCAGTGTATTAAATTGGGAGAGGCAGGGGGCAGTGTATTAGAGTGGTGGGAGAGGGGCCAGTGTATTAAATTAGGGAGGGCAGTGTATTAAATTGGGAGAGGCAGGGGGTACAAGTATATTAGATTGGGGGATGCTGTGTATTTGATTGGGGGCAAGTCTGTTAGATGGGAAGGCAGTGTATTGTATTTGGAGTAGTGTGTTAGATGGGAGGCACTCTACTAGAGTGGGGGGAGGGGACAGTGTATTAGATTGGGTCTGCATGGAGGCGCTGAATGCTCCCCATGGAGATGCTAATTGGCAGCGCAGCGTTTTCCCACACATTCACAATAGCCCCCAGTGGGAAAGCATTGGATTGGCTGAGATCATCAAGTTTGATGATCTCAGCCAACGTGAAGAGCACACTCATAGGACTGAAAAATCAACAAGATATTGTCATTTGTTTTTACAGCTGTGTAACAGCATGCATCTACCATTTCAGTTCCATTACCAAACTTTTCTTAATATGTCAAGGTAGTTGGACTGAAACATTGGTTATATGCAAATGCACATCTCCTTAAAATAAACGTGCTCTTTTGTTTACTTTGAAACCCCACGAGCGTGAGGACTTCCAATGTCAGTTAGGCAACATTTTTATACGTTTCTATGAAAACTGAAGTTTTAGGTAAACTTTAACCTTGTTTATTTGGCCCATGTTAGCCTTTGAGTTTGACATGCTTGTTTTAAGGTATACCATTTTCTTTATTTGTCATTATGTACAATATTAACAGATGTAACCTGGGTGCTAAATAGTTTTCAAAATTGTTTTCAAAATGGCTTCACACTCTGGTGTAATCCCAAAACTCCACCAAAAAGAGAAAGTAATGTGTGCTAGTGAGTGGAGCAATTTATACCATATATAAGACAGAAGAAAGAATATATATACAAACTGGTTTCGATTTTAAGTGTAACTTCCAGCAATAATGGTATATATGTAAAGAAAAAAGGGAAAAAAAGCAATGATAGTGCAGATTGTATAAAAAATATATAAGCATATATACTTGTAACAATTCATAAATTGTGAAGTATCACTTTAAGAAATATTTGGTGAAACCCCAATAGGAAAAAGCTGACATAAATTTATTATCTGTCACATGCAGAAAAAGCAGTACATATATACATAAAATAGAATAATAAAAAATTATGATAAAAAATAGGGTGACAAGCCCCTTACTAGATAAGGTGGTGAGTTTGACACATATATGTCAACTCACTATCAGAGTTCAATCATTAGGGTGGTAGGCTGCTCGTCCGGCGTTCTTCCTGTTTGGCTGCTAGAGAATCTCCTCGTGTATTGTCTGCTGCCAGAAAACAAACGCCTCCGGACTCCGTGGTCTGTACGCTCCTCCCCCTTTGTATGACGTCAAAGCGTTTCGCCAATCGGCTTCCTCAGGACGTGCTCGTTTGTGTGTGTACAGTGGCGTACACAGAATCCATGGGGCCCGTGGTGCGAAACTGATCCATGAGGCCCCTTCTTCTTCCCCCTTCCCTCCCTCCCTTCCCCTCCTCCCTCCCTTCCCCCCCTCCATTCCCCCTCTCCCTTCCCCCCCTCGCTCCTCCTCCCCCGACAAACACACACACACTCATACATATAGACACACATACATACAGAGACACATACACACACACACAGACAGATACATACAGGCACATACACACATACATACACACAGACACACACACAAGGCACACATACATACAAAGACACATACATACACACATACATACATACATACACACACACAGACAGAAACATGCATACATACAGACAGACATACAGACAGATACACAGACACATAAATACAGACAGACACACACACACACAAGACACACATACATACAAAAACACATACATACATACAAACAGACAGGCAAACATACATACAGACAGACACACACACATACACACAGACACATACAGACACACACATACATACAGACACATACACACACACACAGGCATGCAAACAAACATACACACATATACAAAATGTTTAAGTTACCCTCCTGTTTCCTACCTTTCAGGTGCAGGAGGGTGACTTTCCCTGGGGTCTAGTGGTGTCTTAGGCTGGTGGGAGTCAGAGTTCTCTTGCTGATAGCTGGGAGGAGTGACCGGGGCAGTCACTTCCTCCTAGCAGTGATCTTATCACATGGGGCCCGGTTGCGCTGTTAAAGCACCCCCTGGAAATTCATTTCCATCTGGTGGCCCTAACAGGATGGGCCACCCGATGGACTCTTGAACGTGCGGCCCCAGCGGTTTGCCACGTGGGCCAGGGCTGCAAAACATAGCTGCTGGTACCCGGTCCCAGGGGTCGGCCGGGCCCCCCATAGTGAGGTGCCCGGTCACAGCTGCAACCCCTATATGTACGCCACAGTATATATATCTATCACTGTGTAGAAGAGAAGTTATAATTATAAGCATCTCTGATTGGTTTGGTAGCATCCTGTGATATTTGTTTGAAATAATGTTTGTGTTTTATGAAATCCACCTCTAAACCTTTGAAACTATATTGTACTTTATATTCCACTGTAACAGAGCATCCAAGCTTTATTGACTGTCTGTTACACACAGTAATAGAGACTACTTCTTTAAGTAACTAGTGAAGGGAACCCTATATAGCACTGGGCATAAGTGACTTCTCAGTGGGGGGCGGAACCTATCTAACAAGGAATACATGTTTGTATTCCTAACGCTATAGTGTTCCTTTAAGTATAATGATGCATACAGGATCGCTGCTTTATTATATTCTCTTGGTTTGGGATATGCTTGCTGTGCCAAATATTAATTGCTAATTCACTAAACCACAAATTATTAGAAATTATCCTGGAAATTTAAAAATGTTAGGTCAAAATAGCATATAGAAAAAACCTGGGACTAACCTATTTTTTCAGATTGTCTATTTTGGCCTCAAATTTCAATTTGCCTTGTGTGTTCCCAACAATCCATGATTTAGGGAATAGCCCTTTAAACTTTGACGTCAGGAGGTTGAATGTCAAGAACCAAGTTTGACTCTGTCCTGGATGCGGAAACAGTCCTAAGTAGCTGTCAAGAGGACATCCACTGGAGTTATGTTGAACCCTGCAATATAAAGATTGGTATATCTCTGGTCTGGGTGCTTATATTGTCCCTTAAGAGCTGTCCAGTTCTTGACGTCCAATGCAGAAGTTCACTGTCGCTGTAGCCAAGTCAGATCAGAAGGGCTGGGCTTTTTGTGCCTGGATAGGCTTTTTTCTTGACCACACTGATCAAAAATGGCACCCAAAGTCTCCCTTAGCCAAAACAGTTGCAATGAGTGTAGTGATTATAGTGCTTAGAGGGATCTTTCATAAGGACAGTCCAAGCATCATAACTATTACAGCTTGGATGCCCTGGTGCCATCCCCCAGTAAAATATCTTACCGCTTTTGCCTGATCCCATTGGGCACCCATGCCATGTATGGTCTTCTCCAGGAGGAGAAGCCAGACGTCACTTTAGAAGAAAGCAATAAGATTGCAGGACTGGAGTCATTGGCTGAAAGCGCTCAGCAGACGCTCTCCGCCAAGAATTGCATTTTCTGACGGCGAATGTGGCACAGATTGTATCCAGGTAAAATGTTAAACAATGGGAAAACAGCAGACACTTCTCTTGAAACCTGCACTTTTATCAAATAAACCTGAAGGAAAGGCATGTTAAAGTGTTTTAGGTACGTGGGGTGTTCCTTTAAAACATTAACTATTTTTTAAAAATATGAATAAGAAACCTCACAATCTATAGGATTGCATCATTAATTAGATTTTCCAACCTTGGTCTTACAGAAGTGATAGTGAATTGTGGGATATGCAGGCCAAACTCAGGTTTAGGTACAAGATTGAGCACCCATCTGATTCCTTCCATTGCTTTTTGAAAATATTTTGTTTGCTGTTACATATTATCAGATTCAATATTCCCATCCCTGGTCCTTGCATGCTTTACTTTCACAATATTATGTCTCTTCCCCCCCTTCTCTCTTTTCTAAGTGAAGTTGTTTATTTTCATTAATTAGTCATTCCAGCATATTATCACATCAGTGAAAGAAAGCAGTCCCGTTTCCCAAGGCATCTCAGAAAACTCGCAGCAAGTTTTATGCGAGTGGACATGTGTTGCCGTTAACTCGAGATAGCTCAAGCAGATGATGCCAGAGTGCATTAAGGGAGATTAAAGAACAAGTGCTCTGCTATGAGGACGTGTGAAATAACATCAGCCGTGTTAAATAGGAAATGTGCACTAATCAAACAGAAACAAACATTTTGCTTTATTTATATATTTATCTTCTCTTTGTTATAAATAACCTTTGATGACACTGCTACTTTTGACATATGATCCCTACAGAATTTTAATTTTAATTAGAGGGTAGGGCTATTCACTAAATTAGGAATTATGAACAAATGAGTAAAAATTGCAATTTATAAGTCAAATGTTGAGCGCTGGAAAAATAGCTAACTTGAAGAATTTTTTCAATGTGATTATTCACAGTTTTATTGAATAACCCTGCTCATCTTTAAATGCAAAATCAAAATGTGTCATCTAAATTTAGGTTTGCTTTATTATTATTTTTTTTAACCCTTTAGGGGCAGGTGGGCTGTCAGAACCTTGAGCACAAACAGTATGGTACGAAGCAGAGCTGAAAGGGAATATTTCAACAATATTCAGTAATCCTGTTTTACTTTATGATATAAATGTCGTTGAATTTTCTGTTTCATGTTGGTACCGATTTGCATTTAATTCTGGCTTTGATTTTAGTATTCTTGGAGGAAATTCAGCGTGTAATGGCATTTTCAATTCTTATCTCAACCTCGATAAATTTACCTTTTGATTTTGCCATGCTGCCAAACTGGGAGAGTGATATGATACCGGTATTATTTGCTGGAAGTGAAGTATCTAGATGAAGACAGTGGTTACCTCTTTCTAGCGCTTTCAATATAAATAATAATAATAAAAAAATATAAAATTATCATTTAATGTCACAACACTTTTTTTTCTGAACTTGTACTTTTTTTTTTTTTTTTTAATTCAAGGTATCCTGTAGAACTTTTGCAATCAGTTGGCCTCCTGCCTAGCATGCTCCTTTTACATTAAATTCCACCATTTCTTTCTTTGTTGGGATAAAACGTTCTGACTATTAGTATGAACTACGTGAAAGGCACACATCACATACAGACAGCACACGTAACACATACACACAATCAATTGTTACACTAGCTCTTTTCTGTAGATACTAATTTGGCATTACTGTTTCCCTGACTCTCAGCACCTTTGGTCTTTTGTTTGCAAAATTTATGAATGTGTACATAGTTTGTCATGCATGGCTAGTGCTAGTTAACGTGAAACTGAGATGAGTGGGTCAGTTGGTGCGTGAAAGGTGGGTAAGTGGCATGGGGTTGAGGCTGAAGGAATTACCCTAGTTGAGAGGCGTGCCAGACAAAGCAAGCTGGCAACGTTTTTAGTAAGTTTATAAACATATATTAAATACTTTTCAAACTATTTTTGATTTGATTTTCGTTTGTATATCTGTATAAAAGGATTTGTTTGCGGGCTTAAAATTTTTTTTCACGTTAATCACGTCCCTTTAAGGTTGCGCCAAGTGTATGTAACAAGGTCAAGGGCTGCAAGACAAAGGCCTGTGCTGAAGTCAATATGATAAAAAGGAATCAGAGACACACACAAAACAACCAAACAAGTAAAACAAAGTAACAAGAGCAGTTGTCTGCTTGAAAAGTCAAGGGGGTGTAACCAGGTAAATTCATAAAAGTGTCAATTTCTATTGTATATCTGCACTAATTCCAAAATGAAAAAATGAGGATACACCCTTCACACATTAGGTTTTTTAGCAAGCTAAAGTGCTTCAGGGGTCCCTTTAAGGTTTATTCCAACCACCATGGCCAATATACAAAGAAATCTGTCCGGGTTGTTCACCAAAGTGAGAATTCAAAGTGAATTCCAAATTTTCCTCTAGTATATTAGTATATAGCAAAAAAGAGACAGAGTGTGTCTGAACCCACACCTCTATATATAAAGTATACAAATAAATAACTTATCGTTATAAAATAACAGCTTCCTCTCGGGATGTTCCAGACCTTAACCCGTAAAAATAGAGTGTATATATATATATGGATAGCAGAGGAGTATAGCTGAAAATCTACAGAAAAAAAGCAGTACAATAGTGTAATATTGTAAATAAACAATAAAACTGCGCCAATATCAATCGATCACACAAGATGAGAATAGTAAGATCGCCTCAGGGTGCCTCCCCTTACATGTTTGGGGGGTATATCCAGAACTCCCTCTCAGCTGGCTGGTGGTGTCGCCACAATATGGAAGTCCAGACTCAGGAAATGGTAAAAATAATCTGCTTTATTAATAAGTATTTTATAAGTATAAAAGATAAAAAAAACAAATCTGGTCCTACGCGTTTCATCTTATATAAGACTTCCTCAGGGACAAAGTAATAAAAAACAAATTTGGACATATGAAATATCCTAACAAATGGACAAAAAAGCAGCTTGACCCATCCCTCCCCAGTCCTTCCTTATATATGGCTGACATCTTTTCCTGTTGGTGATCCAGGGGGTGTCTTCCACACTGTCCAGCTGTTTCAGAGGATTTTTCAGTTGATTTTCGTGGGTGCTGTACCCATATGACATCACTTCTGGTATGTCACTTCCGTTTTTCACTTCCGGGTGTATTACACTATTGTACTGTTTTTCTTAGATTTTTCGGTAGATTATCAGCTATACTCCTTTGCTATCCATATACACCCTCTAGTATATTACCCTGTAAGTTTTTGTTGCGAGGTGTTAAACCTCCCTGCACACATGACTTAGGCCAGAATTCTGTTCCTGGGCTGACTATATGAGCTCTGCGCAAAAAATTCTACCGTGGTGTAATTATCTCATTCACTTCAGTCCATCCTTGCACAAATTGCTCTTTCCAACCCTCCCTGCCTCCTAACATTGAACTCTCACTCGAATCCCTACAGTCCAGCCCTCCCACTGTCCAGTTTTCCTTCTCTACTTCCACTACAAGTGATGGTGCTTGCCGGATGATCCGGCTTGAGGAAAAAGTAGTCTTGAAGGACCTTGTAAGTTTTCGGCTATTTTTACAGGACTTTTTAATTTTTTTATAGGGAGGCAGTAAGAGCCAGTAGTTGATAAACCCATGTAGAGTAAAATTAACATGGGTTAGCAACTAGCTAGGGGTAAGATTTAGTTTGTTTTGTTTTTTGTAGAGCTTTTTCTTTTTTTTGGTTTTGTAAAAACTTTAAAAAAAAAATTCTAGTTTTGACACGTTCTACTGTGCAGATTAGCCTTGTGGATATCATTGTATAATTCTATATAACAACAGAAGCAATGTCTGAAGTTGATATCAGCAGAGATATTTATTTAGTAATATTAATTCAAAAAGATAAAGCGCAAGCAAGTAAAAGTAAAACCTTATACTATCAGAGCAAATGAGATATATGGTGGAAAACTTGAAGGAACACTTTGGGCACCATAACAACAACATCAGAATGAAGTTATAATGGTGTCAGGCGTTCCCTGGCATCAGTATTTCCTCATTTACAAAATGGAGTGGGAAAATTACATTTTTTTTTTTAAATTCTTTATTTTATTTGTGCAAGGAAAAGACACATCAGGCTTACAATTATTATTATTATTATTATTATGATGATATTTATAGAGCGCCGTCAAATTCCACAGTACTTTACAATGGGTGGACAAACAAACATGTAGTTGTAACCAGACAAGTTGGACACACAGGAACAGAGGGGTTGAGGGCCCTGCTCAATGAGCTTACATGCTAGAGGGAGTGGGGTAAAATGACACAAAAAGGTAAGGATAGTATTAGACTAGTGACAGTGGCAGAAGAGGAATCAGTCAGGAGCTATTAACAGTTTAATTGATACGCTTTTATGAAGAAGTGGGTTTTTAACGATTTTTTGAAGGAGTGGAGACTGGGTGAGCATCTAACGGAGGAGGGAAGCGAGTTCCACAGGTGCTTTAGTTGCCGGGATATCCCTCACGGTGCAGCCCTCGAGAAATCTTGAAGGCGAGCATCAGAGGTGGGAGTACGGACAGAAGATAGACGTAAGTCTTCAGCAAATCGTAAGGGCCTAGACGGGACATACTTGTGTATAAGGGAGGATAGATGGTGGGAGCAGCATTATGTAGAGATTTGAAGGCAAGAACCAGAATTTTAAATTGAGCTCTATATTTTATAGGAAGCCAATGTAGGGACTGACAGAAGGCTGAGGCATGGGAGGTGCGGGCGGACAGGAAGATGAGCCTCGCTGCCGCATTCATTATGCCACAAGAGCAAGGTCAAGCAGTTATTCTCATGGTTTTACATTAGTTAGGCATTAGAGGGCATTGCACATTTTTTATATATATATGAATGTCGCTCGTCAAGTATTTACTCCCGAACTGCTTATCTGAGAAGGTGAGGTGCAAGGTTAGTTAGAACAGGGGAACATAAGTAGCATGAAATAACATGAATTAACAGGAGATTAGTTCTAAAGGTAAGAGCGTTGTTACTCAGGCTGATAATACTAACACAACTTAGGTGGGCAATTATTCTAGCATGGTGTTGCATTAGTTAGGCGTTAGATGATATTGCCCATTTATGTGTATATATGTTGATGTCGCTTTTCAGGGTACACAACTAGCCAGGACAGAATACTTTACAACAACATATGATCTGCGCTAAAGATTATGGTTAGTCAGTTTTAGGCTGTCAGGCTTATAAAGTACAGGCTTTCCTGGTCGTTAGTGACTTTAGCATGCATTAAGGTTCACACTTAAATTACATGTGAAATAAATGAACATAACACATTATAAGATGCTGCGCAAAGTCATGTATGGGGTCCGTTTTAGGCAAAACTAGATCAACGGTATCTGCAGGAGAGCGTCCCAGTGCGAGTGTGTAGGGCTTGTACACCAATCTTCCGATCGGCCTGCATCTCGCGGTGGGGGGGCTGGTGCCTCGATGGTGTGGTCATTTCAGCCTATGCCCCGCTTGTGCAGGGGTGTTATAGCTGGAAAAGGTGTCTGACTCTGAGCCGCTTTTGTCGTCAGCGTGTGAGGCAGGTCAGTTACTTGGGTATGAGTTCTCGGGGGTGCTGTGGGAGTGCGGCAAGATTCCACTTTATGTCTCCGCGGTCTCTTGTGTGGGTTCTCCACATGGTGGGACTTCCAGAGTGTGGTGAGACTGCAAAGGGGTAGTCCCTGTTTGGTGGTAGGACGACTCACTGCTGGTCTTGGTCTGCGATGTCGAGGTTTGTGTCGGGTCGTCCGCCTCCTCTTTCACGCCATTTTAGCTTTGCTATTACCCCTGATGGGAGCCGCGGGTCTCTGCCCGGCCTTCACTTGGGTTGCTGCTGATGGGGTCTCCACTTCTGTGCCCCCTGGTGGTATATTTCGGCCCAAAAGGCGACGAACAGGCGATCCAACCTTTCTTCCAGAGGGGGTAGCGGGGCGCTAATCAGATGGTTACAAGTGGTGACCGCCATGGTTGCTGGTGCTGTTCCGGCTGTGTGGAACAGTCTCCGCTGTAGTTTTGCTGCTGTGTGTCAGGCTTTAGTTGCCGGGATATCCCTCACCGGCAGGGGAGAGAGGGAGTATGCCAGGGAGACCTCCAGGTGAGTGGCTGCAGTCAGCGTAGGGATCGGCCACCTCCCTTGCTTTGTCCGAGTAGGCTTGTGGTAGGCCTAAGGTCTATCCCCGCTTAGAAGCCGACGATTTCAGTCGGGATGCTTGTCGCTTGGTTCTGCGGTTTAGGGCTCCCTTCTCCAGGTCGCCTAACCATCGATTTGGTGGGTTTTGCCCCGATTTTGGCTGATTGGGAGCGATTTTGCACGGAGCTCTTCTCATGTGCGACCACTCAGCATGGCCACTTGGCTCCCTCCCTCGTGAAATTTACATTTTTTTTTATATTATATTTGTGCACTTTTTGCCAACTTTAATATATTTAAAAGAACCAAAGCCAGTTGCTTTTCTGTTTTTGTATAACCATGAAACTAATTTTTAGTACTTGTAAGCATGTTTCATTATAGGATACATGTATAATATTTAAGGCTGTAACTAGCAACACAGAAACCTTTTCCTTTTTTGCCCCATTTCTTTTTTTTTTTTTTGTAAAAAACAAAACACATTGTATTGAATTATTTAGGTAATGGGAAAGATCAGTTTGTTAGGAGAGGTGTTTTTAGTTACAAAAACTGTTTTTAATGTGTTAAAGAGAATAATGTAGAAACGATTTTCCCATGAACTGGACCATGTATGGTAGTGACACAGCACTGCATGAGCGCAATGCTGGGAGGTAACCCCTTAACCCTTTACATCCTTTGTACAGATGCCATTGTTTTTCAGGCAGTCTGCAGCGGCAGGGAGTGAGTTCAAAGGTAGGGGTTGATGCAGTTGGAAAGATGTATTTTAGCTACTTTATATGGCTGGCTTGTAATAAACTAGTCATTGAGTCTGAAAATGTGTGGTTTTCTGTTTCCAAATTCCAAACACTAGCTCTCTACAGCTGTTTACTGACAATTCCCGATACCTAATGAATCATCTTTTTTTTAGGACAGCATCCCCTCCCTAAGTGATTTTTTTTTTTTTTTTTAATAACATTTTATTATGTTCAGGATACAATTTTCATAAAATGTATGGAGGAAAAAAAACTTTTCCATGGATATTTCTCATCTGAATTGCTCAATTTAGTTTGGAAATCTCCTCCACCAATCTCACTATCACGCACTAATTGATGTTAATATATCAATATAATACTGTCAAAAGATATATATATTATTGTATTAACTTTTAACACAGTGTAAATTATTAAAAAACTGTGTTAAGAACTTCGGTAGTTGAGACCCTTTTATTGGTTGTTCTGGAACCCCAGAGATGCCCTTGCAAGGTCATGATCAGGAAAACACAAGCTCCCTTTGAGTGAGTGGAAGCACTGGGGCCAACACAACAGCCGAAAGGTAAATAGAGCAATGGTGAATTAAGTCAACAGGGTGAGCATGTGTGTCCATAGCGTCAGTGCAAGTCAGAGCTGGTCAGTGCTGAATGCAGTATAGTATGATCAGATCCAGGCAATGACCTACAGACTAGATCTGATCAAAGTTAACATAGTAAGCCAGTGTTCAATTAACCTGTAAATACATATCAGACCAGGAGAGATAGTAGTAATAGGAATGCATCAAGGGTCAAAGAGTAAGGCTTCCACAAACTTGTATTCTAGTCTATGGCCTCAATTTAATATTTTTGGATAACTCTTCAAATTATTTTATATTTTTGGATAAACTTCTCAAAACCATTTAATATTTGGAAAAATATTTTGATATATTGAAATAGTTTTATAAATGATATATTTTTTTATATTTTAATTTTTAAAAATAATAATTTTAATAGTTTAATCAAATATGTTAATTCATTCGAAAAGCTTATTCAAAATATCAAATCGAAGGCCTATGGCTAAACACTGATTGGAGCTAGCTATTGGAATTTGCACACCTCCATTTTCATTTTGGTGGATACATGGAGTGACACACGTCCTTTTAGTCAAATCTGGTGTCAGTGAGTTCAGCTAAACATCAGTAAGCACTCACCTGTAGTATGGAAATTGAATGACTTTGGTCCCATTAAAAGAAATGTTGATGTGCTCTAGCATGGGCTAAATGCCTTAAGAGCACTCTGCACAAAATAATTACACTCTTTCTGCAGACATTTTCCTGGTGTCCTCAGATATTGGACACTAGGGAACTAATCAGGGATAGTGGGACAGGAACCTGAATTCACAGTTTATTGAGGTATGAATGTATTTACATTTTGTAAATATGTGTATATCTATTTTATATAGGTAAAATCTCTCTTCTTACTAATAATGTGAAAATCCCACTATCTGCCCTTGTTCACAACCTTGGTGTTACATTTAATGCCCTTCTCTCCTTCTTCATCCACATTCATTCAGCTACTTAATCCTACCTCTTTCACTTAAAGGAGATACAGAAATGCGGCAACATCGCAACACTTCTTAAGTTAGTGCATTTAGTTGGAAAATAATAGTGAAAATAAACAGGTAGAAATCAATAATAATAATAATAAAAGGGCGGGGGGGAACATCAAAGCAAATTCAGTGAATTGGATCAAATGATAAATTAAATACCAGCTCTGCAGTACATAGAGTGACCTCTCCACGCTTTAATAAAGTTATAGAAAATAATTACAGCATGGAACTCAGCAAGAAACGCGCGTGAATGGTTCTAGCAACTATCTGTGAGGTGTTTCTTGCTGAGTTCCAGGCTGTCATTTTCATCCCATTGTTAGGCTCCACGAAGACACTGTTTAGTGTTGAATCATTGCCGGATAATCCACTTGGATGTCATGAATCAACTCAGTCACTAAAAACACATTATTGCTGAGTTTTCTGTGTCTTCTATCACAGAGTATTGAGAATTCCCTTTTATGTTTTTTGTGCATTTTCACTTAAGTAATATAAATAAATATTTAGGATCTCAACTGGATTACTGCCACTAAGTCCAGTTAAGTACTCCTCTGTCTTATTTCTACCTCTACTACAATCATTTACCTAATTTCCTTGTCAGCAGTCTCTCCATTGGATCTTAGATCCCTGTTAGCTTCAGATTAAAGAAACACTATAGTATCAGGAATACAAACATGTTTTCCTAAAACCATAGTTCTAAATACGCTGTGTAGGAGGCCCCCCCTTTAGTTAAAAAGGTGATTTTACTCAACCTTTTTTCCATCTCTGTCAAACATTCAAGGTCCCAACCATTACCTACCAAGTTCTAATTAATGTCTACTCTTCTCCTATACGTCTTTTTATTTTTGCCCAGGACTTGTGCCTCTCTTCTTCAGTCACTACTACCTCCAACTTCTGTCTGCAGTACTTCACCTGTGCTGTACATTTTCTCTGTAATTCATTACCTCTATAGGTCAGCCTCTCTATCAAACACTTTATAGCCTTAAATATTGCCTAAAACTCACCAATTCAGAGATGCCTACCACCCGCCTCCCATATACAATATAGATTCCTAAGGTTGCCAACAGCCAACCTTCACACCATCATTTGGCCAGTCTTTCTATTAATTCCTCTTCAGGTCTGGACAGAATGACCCTTACTCGCATATCTCAGATTAGCGCTTAGTCCTTAAATCTCTGCTCTTCTCTTCAAATACTCCACTTTGTTCTTCTCCTCGAACTTGTGCTCTTCCTCACAATTTGACTTCCTCTATCAAACAATCCCCTACTTGTCTCTAACATTTACACTTCCTGCCAAATTGTAAGCTTGCAAGAGCAAGATTTATATTTCTGTACTAGTGTAAAGCTGTATGCTGGGGCGTTGCTAGGTTCCAGAAACACCTAAGGAAATTTTGATGAACCTTACAGTAATAGAGAGGCATAGCTCCCAACTGTTCCTACTTAGGAGGGACTTACGCCTAGTTTGTGCCCTTTGTCCCTCGTCCCTCTTTACTATCCTAATATCCATCTTTTCTAGGAGCTCCATGTTGTGGGTGTGAGTGTGTAAGAGTTTCATAGCAATAATACTCCCCTCTATTAGAGATCTGGGGCTACTGGCAATGTCTACTAAACTTGTCTGTTTACTTGTCTGTAGCTGTCTTATATTGCCCAGCGCTGCAGAAACTGCTGTAGCTCAATAAAAAAAAATATGTACTGTGAATACACACACTCAAGAAAATTGTGCAGCTGTTCTTTTAAATATGGCGTTTATTTCTCACTTATAAGCTAATGGATTCGCTTATAAAAGCCCATCTTATGCCTTATTCTTTTTTTTTTGTTATTTTTAAACAGAATTGTAGCTAAAAGCATGAAGGCTTTAAATTAGGTTTACGAGAGAGAGAGAGAGTTTTTATTTATTTTTTATGTGCTTGTATTTTCTTCAGATTAAGGTTTCTAATATAAGGAAGGTGTCATTAAAATTTTCAAGCATACAATTGATTTGCTTGTAGTGGCGTACACGTTCTTCTCTCACTTCTCCAGTCCCTTAAATTGGGGGTTTCATCCATATTTTCAAGTACATTACTCCTAATGTCCTGAGTAGTGATTTGTAAACTTCATGCAAGCATGTTTGATGTTCCCTCTGCCAGGAAAACCACAAAGTGTAACAGAAAAAATGTCTCTGGTGCGGCTACATTTCACCGCCCTCTCATTCTGGCCATGTTCTGTGTTTTTTTCTCTCTCTTTTAAATGAAGCTTTCTTGTCTTTGCCTTAGGCTTGTCTTTGCCTTAGCTGGTGGGATTTGAAAATCTACATTTCTACAGAAATATTATTTATATACTTTACCTACAAATTTAATCAGAACATTCAAAAAAAGGCCAGAAATCTACTTTTTTTTTTTTTATTTAATTTTTTTTTAACCATAATCGCATGGATTCAACGTCTGCACAATGAGTAGTCTTGCCAAACAAAATGATTCGTTAATGCCTGCTACGTAAAATTTCCAGGCAACTGCCATGTTGGCAAAGCCTGGCTTCCTGTTAGGTCTCTGAATGCCAGGGTTTAAAATAGCCATATGTTTTCGTTAATAGCTTTTCATTTAATGGGGAATGTTTAACTCACAAGCATTTTATGACCATTACATTACACATATTGGTGTGTGTCTTTTGGATTCACCTTGAATTGCCTGCACATCTTCAACTGGAGAAGATATGTGTTAGTTGCAAGTAATGTTGCTATATCCTATATTTAAAGGGATGTTCCATGCAGGCAGGTGGGTCTATTAATAAGCAAGTCAACCTTCACATTATCGCACAGCAATGGGGGTAGGCTTTAGGTAATATAATTGTTACTGTGGTATAAGAAAAGGATCTATGTGTATATGCATGTTAGCCACACTTTCTGTATTCATTTGAACCTTTTGCATCTCTGTCAAACTGTTTGTCGCTTTGATGGACTGATGGTAAGGTTGCCATATATATATATGGTAGTCCAAGTAGGGCACAAAAACTCCAAGAACAAGAGTTTCCACAACTATTGCAGCATTCCCAGCTCCACATGCTATACTACACACACAACACTCAGTCACACTCAGGCTCCCTTGCACACATACAAAACTCCACATGCATAACATTCAGCCACTAACATTCAGCCACTAACATACACAACATTCCACCACACCCATGCAACAATCAGCCTCGACACCAAGGGGTAACCCTAATCTAGCTTTGCCCTCATTGACCCTTTATTCATCACAGCACAACGAAGTAGCTCACCTATTCCAAAGTACTGTCCCAGGTACGTTTTCTAACATCAATTTACTTTTCTACCAGGTGTAATTTTGTAACCAGATAATGGACAAATATAAATAGTAATTTATTTTGTTAAATGTTTTCAAGTACTAATGACTGAATAAAAAAGAAAAGAAAATGAACAAAAAAAATAAATAAATTTAATTTGTTGAAAACTGCTCCATTATGTCACATTAAAATATTGGCTTGTTTAAACATATCTACAACATATAATGCATGCAATTTATGTTTGTAAGAATCAGGGTGTCTTCAATCTTACTGAAACTTAATTTACATCTCTAAATAAATATAAATGTGTACATATTTATATAGACCCATTTATGCCATAATTAAGGAATACTAGTTAAGCAGAAGAAGGATATGGATTATATTTGGTCTACAATGCATAAGGGTCAAATGTGCTTTCCGCAGTTCTAAAAGCAGGTGAATGAGCTGGGGTTTATGCACTGTGATAATTCTGATGGTATCCTTAGTCAATGATGCATGTCTAGATCAAATCACTGGTATGATCAGGGAAATGTGTCAGTATTTTTATCATTACATATTAGTGATAAATAACACACTGCTCCTTTGGATAAGATAGAATGTATTTAAAGACGTTCCAATGGGTTTCAATTTAATAGGAGTCTCGGCTGAGTAGAATCATAATCTTTTTGTAATTTAAATAGAAAGGTAAAAATGTTCTTGTGTATACCGTTGTCATTTTCCTATCAGGGCTACGCAAAGTTGATTCCATTTCAAATGCGACTTACAACAAAACTGCAATAAATATATGCAGCATTCTTTTCACATAGTGACAGGGGCATCGAAGTAAACTTACCACTAAACACATATTTAATAATAATAAATATGTAGTATGTTCTTAAACTAGCAACCCCCCCCAAAAAAAAAAATCACTGTTTTGTACTTTAATGCCTTGAAGGTTTCTGCATGGAGAATATATGCAACAGTTTACCTGAAGATCACAACATACATTTGCAAATATAGCCCAGTGAATGTATTTATGTAATTTATTTTGTTGTTACAGTAGCTTAATTATAAAGCTGTATTCCTGGCACCACAGCTCCCTCTGTCTCCACCCTTCTTCGCGCCCCTCTTCCCTCCGCTCTGCCTCCCCTGACATCCCTCAATGAGTAGACGCTATTGACAGCCACGATAATTACACTGATTGACAAATGTGAAAATTTGCAATTCTCTGACATTACATTACTTACATTTGTCAGCATGTGCAGACAGCATTTAGGCACCAAAACCACTACCTTAGGCTGTAGTGGTTTTGGTACGTAGAGTGCCCTTTTAAGTGTTCTGCAACTTTGTAGACACACTGGTAAGGTTTCAGCCACTTTGTTTTAATGTTAATTTTAACAAACTGTTTTAAGAGAGTATTGGATTTCCGTCGCTTACATTAGAGCCTTTTTCCATCTTTTCAAAATGTGTTTTCATGTTTAATAAGTTTAATTTTTTTTAAATTTTTTTTTGAGATTTGAAGTTTTGTGGCTTGTAGCAAGCTTCATGCCATTTAATTATTATTTTTTTTATAATTTCTTTAATAAATCCTTTATCCTGCATTGCCAGTTCCTTGAAGTCCAAGTTATTTAAAACACAACTGCAGAAGTAAGACAAAACGCCAAGCTAAAAACTAGGCAAGATATTTCTCTTTTTTTACAAGAAATGATCACTTACTTTGACTGTTCAAATGAATCACTGCAAGATGATTTACGGCAGGTTTATTCATATTTCTAGGTACATCGTTTAGTTTATGGCATCTTCCCAATCTGCAGTCTGGATTCTTGAAAATATGCTTAAGATGCATGTTTTCTTTGCAATGGTAAACTTACTAAAGTAAAACCATGTTCTGTTCTATGGCGTTCATACACAAGGTTTGAAATCGTATGTGCTTTTCTTATCGATGAGGCTGAATATACATATTTTGAAAGATGTTTCTTGTGGTCTAAAGAGATACACCGGGATCTTTTTTCTACCATTTCATGCATTATGTTGAAAAATAACGCATTAATAAAAATTTAAGATACTGACCCAAGAAGAATTTTTCTGATCTTCCATGTCCTTGTCAAGTGACTGTGATATCTTATTTATTAGCACGTTTCTGACGGTGTGATATGTTGTACCTGTAGGAATGAAGTTGTACAGTATGTGGACGTCAGTGGAATTATGCAGTGGCTGTTCTGTGCATGATTAACCAGCTCTGATTAATTTTATCTTTTAGGGATACGACTTAGAAGCTATGTGTTAAAAAAGCACTGTCATGATGAACTTTCTTTTCTCCTATTTTTTCTTCTCTCAGAATCTGTTCTTCTTTTCTTTATTTCTGATCTAGTTTTCTTTAAAACATAAGATAAAATAGGGACTACTTTGTCTTGTGTATTTTTCCTAAGCTTGACCATCTTTGACCCAAGGAGGAGCTTAAGTCAGTTCAATTTCCTGTGTCAAGGAGGAGAGTGAGTATTGTGGGAAGACTTTCTCTAACTCCTTTGGTCAAAGTGTCAGGTCCCCTGCCCCCGCACCGCTTGCGGGAACCTTGCTTACCCAGTCACCACGAGTGGCACCTTCTGGTCCCTGTCTGCGGTGTGCGGCTGTCCCCGCCACCGCGCTCCAGACTGGCAGTGTGTCTGACGCTGCACGTTCCACGTGACCCGGCACACAGTGACCCGGCACACGGAAACTCCTCCCACGTGTTTTGGTTAGCACTAATTGGAGGTTAGATAAACAGACACACCCTGTGTGTTTATAAGCTAACCTCCCCCTTGCCTCAGTGCCCTTTTGTGGTCTGTGTTTAGCTCGCTAGCACGTTAAACTCTGTCTGCTTATTCAGTTACTGTACTTTGGCTTGTCTTACGTTTACTCTGTTTCCCTTTGACCTTGGCTTGTACTTTGACTATCCCTTTTTGCACTGCCCGGCCATTCTAAGGACCGGTATTGGAATTCTATGTATTGTGTCCCATCTGCATGCTTAGGTTCCCCTGATGATCATGACACAAAGAAAGTCAAGCTTAGGGAAAATACATAAGACAAAGAAGTCCCTGCTATGTCATATGTTTTAAAACTAGATCAGAAATAAAGAAAAGAAGAACAGATTCTGAGAGAGGAAGAGGAAACAATAGGAGAAAGGTAAGTTCGGTTTGACAATGCCGCTTTAATTCAATGTACCGCGGTACGAAGAAGTTTTATCTTGCAACTTGGGGTCACCTGTTATATCATGGTCATCATGACTTTATTTTCTGGATGCAGATGTTTAGAGAATTTCTTCTACATAGCAGTCAATAATGACATTCTGGAATCTTGTGAGGCTACAATAATCACTGTCATTTGATACTGTCATTTCATTTTCTACTTCCACATTTATTGAAGGCATCATTCTGTCTCGATTTGCAGCTGTTTTTCTTTCATTGCTCTAATTTTACCTTCAGCCGTACAATCCACCCAGTTATATCACTTTTTCTGTAATTAGGAGTTGCATTTAAAAATCTGATTTTGAAAGAATTTTAATCAGTCTTCAATATTTGCAAGAAATGTCCTAGATTCAGAATGCTTTCTTGATTATTTATTATTATTAGCATTTATAGAAACATAGAATGTGACGGCAGATAAGAACCATTCGGCCCATCTAGTCTGCCCTGGCCTTATCTTATTGTTAGGATAGCCTTATGTCTATCCCATGCATACTTAAACTCCTTCACTGTGTTAACCTCTACCACTTCAGTTGGAAGGCTACTTTTTTCTATGTGTGAGGGGTGCAGTGTGTGTGCGAGGGGTGCATGTGCATGTGTGATGGGTACAGTGTGTGTGCAAGGGAGTAATGCGTGTGCGATGGGTCAGTGTGTGTGAGGGGGCAGTGCGTGTATGCGTGTATGTGTGTGTGTGAGGGGAGAAGTGCGTGTGTCTGTGAGGGAGGCAGTGTGTGTGAGAAGGCAGTGTGTGTGTGCGTGAGGGGGACGGTGCATGTGTGTATGTGTGAGGAGGCAGTGCATGTGTGAGGGGGCAGTGCGTGTGTTTGTGTGAGGGGGCCGTGCATCTGAGGGGGGGGCAGTGTGTGAAGGGGCCAGTCTATGTGTGTTTTAGGGGGCAGTGTGTGTGTGAGGGGTGTAGTGTGTGTTTGGTTGTGAAGGGTGCATAGAGTCTATGCTGTGTGTAGGTGGGTGAGATGTGAAAATCTATTTTAATGTCTTCCCCTCCCTTCTTTTTACCAGGGAAGGGGAACATAAAGTTGCAAGCCCTAGTGGTCCAGTGGTGGCATGTTCACTTCAGCCTGTAGCTTCTCCAGCTGCAGGTCCTCCTGCAAGCACAGCACTGTATCGGAGCATTGCCATGGTTACATGTGGCAACCCTCCGACCAGCCTGCTCGCGGGAGGAACACAGATCCTCCCAGGCACTTCCCTCCCTCTGCTGGAACTAAGTGTCCTCGGGCCGGTGAGGGAGATCTTTGATCTCCTCACCAGCCTGAAAAGGCTTACAGCAAGCCTGTCTCTGCATGGGCTGGCAAGGGAGATCAAAGGACCTCCTCTGATGGCCTTGGTCCACGGCTATCGAGGCCCACGGGCCTTTTCTGCAGAACCTACCACCGCCCACCTGAAATCCCAAACCGGTTGGGATCAGGTTGACTACCCCCTGCTCTAGACTGTAAGCTTGTTTGAGCAGGGTCATCATCTACTTTTTGATCATGTATCATTTTGTTTTGTCTCATTTAGTGTTAAATTTCCCCACTTTTGTAATATTGTAAAGAACTGCGGAATAAGTTGGCGCTATATGAATACCAATAATAATAATAATATAGTAACAAGTAATTAACATACAAAAAATTTAGAGAAGGCAAGCTTATAGTCTTGATCTAAAGAGGGTGCTGTCTTTGTCTTTTGTCTTCTAACATGCAGGTCGACTTCCTGCTTATAGCAAATTGCATGCATGGTGTAAAAGTTGCATTTGAGATTTTGTGCAAGAAATAACACATACCTTTTTTTCCATACCATATCAGAAATGCATCTGTGATCTTTTCTCAGTAGTAGAATGTTAAGTAGGGTAAAATTTCCCTTACATTGTCCACCAACTGAGGAGAGCTTTGTTGAAGTTAAATATAGAGGGAGAACAGCAGAATGATAAAGAAGACTTTGCAGAGAACTCTGGCCATCAATGATCAATTGATGACTACTATTACGTTACAACCACATAGCAGGGAGTTTATTCTTATTGAAAAAAGAATACATCTTCCATAAAGTGCATGCAAGTCTTCCTGAATATATAATCAGATTGGCTGTACCCCATTAAGAAATAAAGACTTGCAGGATCTGCTGACTTCAACAGCAGAGTCCATAAATGACAGTTATCCTAATCTGCCTTAATAAGCGCCTGCAAGGAACTAATTACATAGTGTGAGAGAGACTTGACAAGCCTCTTAAACCTCTTCTTAGCCGCGGTCTTTAAAATATTTCAGTGCAGTAAAAAATTAAACCAGCATACAGAAGGAGCTACAAAACCAGTTGCCAATGATCATGGCACAGCAGATGTTTATAAACTACATTGACCAAGGTTCTCCGTCAATCCATTGATGTTTAAAGCCACATTTCAGGTTGATCAGAACACAAATTAACAGCTAAATTGGCTAAATTGGTATTTAAAAGTGTGCATATTTAATCGGCCACACCAGTGAAAAGAAACACATGCAGAAAAATAAATAAATTTTGGTCTTGGCAGTTCAGCTGTGGAGTTGGAGGAGCTTCCCAACCAGCCTACTAGGGTTGGTATATGCACCACAACCCCTTTACTAGGTAGCGGGGCCAAGATGCAGCCTCTTTAATCTTTGTGGGTACAGGGCAGGCGAGGAGCTTGAGGAGAAAGAGAAGGGGAAATTAGAAAGAGATACTAATGGAAATCGGGAGTATAAAGGGAAGATTAAAAAAAAACACCATCACATTTATTCAAAATCCGTTGAAAATGCCATCTGCCTTCATACACTACACTCAAATTGCATGGACGCACACTGATGTTACACAAAAGTACATCCCTCACACATGCTGGCATTTCACATACATAGACCTCACAGTCACACGAACACATGCTACAGAAAAACGCCCCGCGTGTAAACGCTGACGCTCTATATAAATACCACATTCACACGTTGAGATGCCATGGAAAGATATCTTCGCATTTACATGGTTATGTTGCACAGAAATACTCCACTCCTTTCACACACTAAATAAATATGTTTTACTTTTAGATTATTTGTGTTTTTTTCTCAATGCAATACTAAATTAAAATCAGGGTGAACTTAAGTGTGGCCATGTTCTAATTTTTCCTTGGGGCCCAGACTATGCTCAGGCTCCCCCTGCAATTAAACTATTTGGATTAGAGCACTATGGGGCTAGAGCTAATATGATCAGGGAATGCAGGTTTGAGGGCACTTTCTTTCTGCTTATTGAGCAGAGCCCTCAACCCCTCTGTTCCTGTCCACTTGTCTGGTTACAATTACGTGTCTGTTAGTCCACCCATTGTACAGCTCTACGGAATGTGCTGGTGCTATATAAATAATAAAATAATAATAATTGGGTTTGGTGGATGAGGGAAATTTTTATGAAGGGGGTAGGTGGCTATGAGTCTCGAGGTGATAGGAAAAAAAGGATTATGAGGGATCAGGTTATTAGAGATGGGGTTTAAGGACCATCATATGTGGGTTCTTTGGAGCTAGGATAATGTGATTGATTGGGATTTTGAAGGCAGGTCTCATTAGGGGATTATGAGGCTGGAGTGTGAAGGGATTATAGGTCCACATCTTTATGTTTTGCCTTTGAGGCCATATTCGCATGGAAGAATTAAACATGCAAATTTTATATTTAACACGCTAGTTACAGTACGTTGAAACAATGTTAAAGAGAACAAGTACAACAACTACCACAGACATATCAAATTTCGGTTTGAGTTTAAAGGCATTACGCTGGAAAACCGTTTCTTCTGGAGCTGTGAAGTCACGCATTTTTATTTAACCGTCGGTCTTCCAAGCAAATAATTTTTAGGAGAAATACATGTATCAGTAATTTTTTACCTTTCACTGCTTTGGCCACATACCAATTAATTTACCTCTTAGAATCTTTCATTTAAATAGCTAGCTGTTCACTAAAGGCAAGTGGCTAAAAATGTTGCTACAAATTTATACCATAGGCATTCCTGAGTGGGGCTTTCAGTGCTGAAGCTCTGGTTGTGATCTCTACAGTTGGTGAACTGGGATTAGGGGATATTAGTGCTTTTTGTCATTTCTAAGTTCTATTATTGAAACAATGGATAGAAGTATAGTGCTTACCCAGAATACTTGTGAAGAGGTGGTTGAGCCCCCCAGAGGACTGTTGGGAGCAGCTGCTCAGGAAGAGAATTTTGCTGCATCCCCTCTATTAGCTAGGTAGTATGGTGGGATCACATCGAATACCTGGCTGTGCATTCATTGGATCCTGTAGAGCCCAACCTGCATGCTCTTCATGGGTAAAAATAAGGGCACACAACATAGAAAGGCAGGGCCATGTCATGACATATCTCCACCTCTCTGTAGAAATCATCAACCTTTTTGGGGGGGTTCAAGCCCCTGATGTTTTTGGAACCTAGAATCACCTATAGTTTATACTATGCCCCTTGGTTAAAATCAAGAACACCTAGAAAAATTAGCCAGTTAAGTATTTCAATTTAAAATGAAACAAGATTAGAATTGCGTAGATTGTGCATGAAGATGCCTTTTCTCATTAGTCATGACAAGTGCTGGTTGATGGGAAATGGCAAAGTACACCAAGCAGAACCTCGTTAAGGCTCTGCCTTTTTCCATAGTTACGATAATAGGACAGTGTGTCATCTTTTGATTCCGATAGAATTTCAGGGAAATTCAAAATAGTATATAATCATTTCATAATACACAAGTATGTCCCGTTGAGGCCCCTACGCTCTGCCAAAGACCTTCTCCAGGGCTGCACCTCCTCTGTGGAACTCCCTTCCCTTCTCCGTAAGACTTTCAACCAGTCTCCACTCATTCAAAAAATCATTGAAAACTCACTTCTTCAAGAAAGCACATCAATTAAACTGTTAGCAGGTTTTTATTTCCCACACCCCATGACCCCTCTCCTGCAACTGTCTAAATTACCTACTAAGCCCTCAGTGAAAACTTTTCTAACAACCTACTTCATACCCCTACTTTTACCCTTTGTGTCACTATACCCCACTCCCTCTAGAATGTAAGATCATTGAGCAGGGCCCTCCCCTTCTCTGTTCCTGTATGTCCAATTGTCTGGTTACATTTACATATCTGTTAGTCCACCCATTATACAGCGCTATGGAATAGGATGGCGCTATATAAATAACAAAATAATAATAATAATAATGATTGTATCTTTAAGAAGAACTTACAAGTGACATTGCCTCTTTAAATTTAGGAATTTCTTTAATTATAAAAAAAAATATCAAAACTTTGTTTGCTCCCACCCCCGCCCCCCCCCCCATTGAACACCAAATAAATCTGGCATATTTTCCATCTGGCAAAAGCAATAACCAAATTATTATTCTGTCATGGCTTTTTAACAGCCGTAAAGTGATTGGATGGGAACTAAATGATGCAATTTATTCTCTCCTCTTTGCCAGCTTGCCTGTAACAGGAAGGCTGCCAGCTATAACAAAGTGGTACCCAGATGGTAATCACATGACGCCCACTTGGTTGCGGTGCCCAAACCGGGAATTACTCAGCAGCCGCTACAAGGTGTGGGTCAATTGAGGAGGGGATCGCCTGTTGCTTCACAGTTTTGCATATGTAAATCTCTTACTATCATGCCAGGTCTGTGCAGTCTTAGGATTGCCTTTCTCCTGGGCCCAGATGATTCTGGAGTTGGGCCAAGTTAACAAGGATCTAAGAGGGAAGATTTTTTTTTCTCTTTCTTATAGAACGCGGTCACAGTTTGCTGCCTCTGTGTGAACTCTCTCTCTTTCCTGGATGTGCTCATTTTCTCCACAGCTGAAGCTGCTTTCAGGAAATTTCTATGATAGGCTGACTCTGTAATAGGATAGACAATAAGGCTTTTTTAAGTGCTGGAGAGAGAGCAGAGCCTGCTTAAGTGTGTGCCTGTGTCTATTTTTAGTCAAGGACTGAAGACAATTCACTTGGCCCAAGCTGCGTCTCTGTCTATCCCTCGCTCACACTTTCTTTCCCCTCGTTGTCTGCCACACTTCTACACTCTGTTTCATCAGCTACAGATGTGGCATGCAGCCGTTCGTTGAGGAGTCATGAACTGTAGCGTCTGCAGAATTTAACAGCCAACATCTGGTGAAGCAGCGCAACCGATGGAAACAATTTTTATTTAAGAAGCTTGATAAAGAGGCACAGGCTGCAGTATCTCTCCCTCGCCCTTTTTCTTTTTGTTTAGCCTTGGAAGCACAGTCTAGATCAGACTACTAGCACTCAGAAAACAATTGTTGGAATCTTGTGTGTTAAATCTTAGCTGAAGAGCCAAGCTTTGTTAGTAAAACTCTACACACATGTATTTGCCTGGCCTCAAGTTTATTAAAGTTGTAAAAATATTTGTTTATTTTTCTATTTCTGTTTTTTTTTCTCTGCCACTTTAATGTTTTGAATCTGATTGCATTGAAATACCCAAGATAAGACAATACGGGAAAAATCATTACAAGAAAGAGACAATGTTTGGCAAAATTTGGTGCTGCAAGCCTCTTCACTGCCATATCTTTCCATTTGCCATCAGGCATAGAGCAATGGCTACTGGCTAATATTCTTACTACCTTGCCTGCAACATATTCTATCTCGCAGGGGTAGGCACCCTTCAGCACTGAATATGTTGTGGACTACATCTCCCATAATGCATCAGGGGAGTTGTAGTCCACAACACCTGGATTGCCAAAGGTAGCCTACTCCTGATCTACAAAGTATATAGTATTCCTTCCATTCCATTAGCTATCCATTTTTCCTCTGGCTTTTGGTGGCACAAAGGAGAGAGAGGTTTATAAACCTTTGCTCTTTCCTCAGTGTTGCAGCTAGAGAAGTTGACATTTCACCTTTGAGTGATTTTTGGAAAAATGCAAAGACCCTACAAGTGACATTTCCTCTATAAAGCTACGTCCCATCAAACAGTGATTTCAAACACACCACTATCAGCTCAAATATAAGATGAAACATATTTGATGGTTGGTGACTTAAAATAATATATGGCTTGAGTCACCTTCATGCTGTAAAAATAAAACAGTTTTAATTCAGCTATCTTTTTTTACATTTTTTATTTTTTATTTTTATTTCAGACTTGTACCAGTCCTGCATACGCTTTGTATTACTTGTGTGAAGTGGGCTTTGGTGCAATGTCATCATCAATATATTGCTGGATTGTTAATCTACCCATCCCTTCCACCTGGGTCCCCCCCTAGTTCTATCTATTCCTTAATGTAGGTTTCTTGCCTGTACCCTGCACATTTAATCCTGGAGAGTACGAGAGCCTCTTGTATGGTTTCTATGTTTTGATATTCTATTTGTCTGTCTGCCTGGTTCAGGGTTGTATTACCCCTTTCTTTCTTTTTTTTTTCCCTTCACCTCCTCTCCCTTCCTCTGATCTTTTGTGGCTCCTTGGTAGAGGGCAAAGTCAGGAAGGAAGAATCTAAACGAGAAGAGTCAGGTCACTATGTGGAACACCGAAGGCCTAGCAAATCATCCAGTCTATTTATCCATGTATCCCAGTCCTCTATTTGTTTATATCTGTTTCCCAAGTTTACTAGTATACCTCTTTCCATTCTTGCTTGCCATGTTACTTGTTTTATTCATTCGTTGATATTTGGAATTGTCTCTGTTTTCCAATTTCTTGCAAGAAGTAATTAGGCTGCCATAATTAAATGTAATGACACCATTAATGGTTTTTTGTCATTTCTGGACAGTGCAAGTTTAGTAAAACCACTTCAGGCTTACAGGGTAGTTTTATTTCCGTTATTTGATATATTATCTTGTTTACTTATTTCCAAAATGTATTTATGGGTGTGCACTGCCACCAACTATGGGTCATATTACCTTCAGCAGTATTGCATTTCCAGCATCTGTCTGGGAGTTCTTTAGGTGTTTGGGTGTTAAATACCATCTATTTGATAGTTTAAACTGGGTTTCTAAAAGATTTAGGCAGTGTATATTTTTATTCAACTTATTTAGGGATTTTATCCATTGTTCTTGTTCTACAGGTACATGTAGTTCTTTTACCCATTTATTAATCAATGCTATTGGTTTGTCATGTCTCCATCTATATACAACTTTAGCACATTTTGCCATTAGGTTTTTATAGTTCTTTAATTCAAATAATTGTATAAGAGTTATGGTATCCTCCTCCTTATTCTTAAAGAGGTGTTACTAGAAAGCTTTTAATACGCAGATAGTTGAACATTTCACTGGGGGGAATGTTAAAGTCCTTCATAATTTGGTTGAAAGGTTTAATGTTGTATTCCTCCATTATGTCTTTAAATTCCTTTACCCCTTTTAGCATCCATAAGTCTGTTTTTATATTTTCTAACATATCTGAGATACTTGCGAAAAGGAGCGTATCAATTATTTTGTTTCTAAAGCCTTTCTTGTTTGTATGTGTATCCCACCATCTCGTTAGCTCTTTAAGTATCTGAGATTTGCTTTGTGCCTCTCTAATAATTTTTTAGCAGTTTTAACAGTTTTAGCTTTTTCCATTTTATACCATATTTCTTGAGTAGCCGCCTTGCTTTGTGTGAGCATTATATGAAATAGTCTGCTGTCCTGATAACATTTTAAAACTTCTGGGAACCCCAAGCCTCCATCCTGTCTTGATCTGGCCAATACTTTCATTTTGACTCTTGGTTTCCTGCCCCCCAAATAAATTTAACAAAATGAGAGTGTAACAGAGACAGCCAGTTTTCTGGGAAATTAATTGGAATCATTCTGCAAAGGTACAACCATTTTTGCAGGATAAATGCTTTTAAGATGTTAATCCTACCCGAACATGAGAAACCCATGCCTTTCCAATACCTTAAATTTCTGTTAGTTTGCTTTAGTAGGGGTAGAAAGTTAAGTTCTATTAAATCTTTTGATTCTGAAGTTATGTTGATACCCAGATATTTTAGTCTGTCGCTGTTTTTGGGTAGCCCCGTGTTCTGTACAAGCAGTTTAATAGTCCTTTTATTCATATTTTTAGCTATAAATGTTGATTTTTCCAGATTTATTTTATGGGGGACGAAATGCGTTGACTAACGTACACACTTTTATCGGCTGTTTTTTATCTTCATTCCATCTGACTCTTTGGTGCCTAAAGTCTCCCTACTGATTGCTGACCACGATATTTTGACGAGGGATATCTATTACGGGCAACTTTCATCTGCATATATATCTCTCTACATCCCTGGGCTTCCATCATCGAGGCTATACTGCAGTCTTTTTTGAAGATCCCGACTGCGGTATCAGGGCGTAGGTTTACTCAGGATAGGTTCACCTGTTTGTATTTATCCGTATTGCTGCCTTCCATTACCAGTTCATTCAAGTGGCGTGTGAATACTTTGGTTACCTCTTTATTGGATTTATAATTTTTTTTACCTCTTGTGGGGGCCCACACCGAGGTCAGGTACACTTTATATGCATATATATTTTTTATCCATTTCTTATGTTGTTTATCTAGATGGTTACTAGCTCTGTTTTGTATACAGTGAGCATAACCTCTCTGTCATAATTACCGGTGTCTATTTCCCCATATAAATGTGTTTCTGATATATTCGTAACTGATTGTAACATTCATTTATTTCTTTGTTGGGATGCTGCACAAAGTTTCCATTTCAGATATATATTGTTGCAATATTCCTGATTTGAAATACTGCATCAGTTTACTGAGTCCACTTTAGCACACTGTCGAGCATCTCAGTTTAGGTTGATAAGAAATGGTGGCTTTATTACTGAAGATTTGAAACAGCCTGATATTATTGCCCGATATTATATTATTATCCACACAAAGTGTGGATACTTTGGCTACCTCTTTATTGGATTTATTATTTTTTTTTACCTCTGGCGGTATCAATTTTGCTTATGGGTTTTGCCGGTGTCTGAGTTTGGGTCGTCGGTATACTCGCAATGGGGGTGGTTTCTTATGCTTGTCCATTTGTTGATGGTACATTAGTTATTCATGTCTGACCTTTTTGTCTCGTCCACCTCTCCCTCCCAGTCCCTCCAGCTCATATCAAATTCAAGGTTTTTTTGTGGAGATAGTATCGCCATTCTTTCGTATATTTTGTACTGGGTGAGTTTGGTTTGGAGTTGAGCTAAGGAAAGGCAGATCTGAGATTTGGTCCCATTTTTTTATATTAAAATTTTGTGATGTTAAACCTGACCCTGTTATCTTGGCTGATGGAGAGCTGTAGAAAGCAGACACGGCTTGTAGGATTGATCCAGTAATTTCAAAGCAGTTTAAAGGGGCGAACATGAAACCCCATCCAACCCTGTCAAACGCTTTCTCTGCATCTATTGACAGAAGTATTAAAGGGGTTCCACTGCTCTCTGCTTCCTCCATTATGTTTATTATTTTTCTAAGGTTGTTAACTGAGGACCTCCATGGTATAAATACGACTTGATCATTATTAAGTTGTGGTATTACTGTTTTTAATCTATCAACTATAATGGAAGATAGTATTTTAATATCTGTATTAATTCATGTTATGGGCCTATAATTACCTATATTTACTAGGTCTTTGTCTGCTTTTGGGATAGGCACAATGTTTGCCCTCAACAGCTCTCCAGGACAGTCTCCTGTTTCCTTAATTCAGCTATCTTAGCAAATACATTTCAGGATTTGGTTTCCCCAATATATAGCATGTTTAGGCTTACCTCTGCTTCAAAGTAACCCCAATTAATGGCGAGTCTTACATTCATGTTAACATGTGTAGTAACCATGCTATCTGCTAAACTTTCTGCTTAAACGCTTACAGAGTCTCTAATCAAATGTAAGCTTTTCTGTAGTCACTTTTAGTGAGGGACATGGTGATTTACCCAAAGGTATGAGCACACCACATTTACACTGCCTTTAGGAGTGACCAGAGGAAAATCATAATATTGAGCAGTCTCTTTAAGCAATTTGTGTTTTTGTAAGCACGTTTATCTCCCATGTTAAAGGACAACTGTCACCTTAAAAAATATTTTTTAATGCCATAATACTTTCATCGAGTATTGAGAGGAAATAGATTTCTTTTTAAATTAAGTATATGTGAACAAATGAGAAACTCATTTCTTTCAGTCGTATCCGTGCACTTTGGGTCAGACAGTGTCTGTGGTCTTCCCTGCTTCTGTAAGGAGTGAAGCAGAGAAGATAAGTAAGACACACTAGTAGGACTTACTAGTATTGGGTATATTGAAGCAGTGGAGGCCTTACACATGGTACGGCCATGCGGTGTGACTAAACCCCCATTTTTATTTGCTAAGAGAGGTCATTGTAAAAAGCCTTGTAAGATTTAAAACTGTATTTTTCTTTGTGTGCTTTTCCCTTAATGTGTATTTTGTACACATTTCGGTCTGTACAGCAGCACCACTGTTGAGAAATGTATATTTTGGCTCAAGGGCATAGCAATGTCACGAGGCGCCTGTGGACCAGTCATTTATGAATGAAAAAATTAAGTAGTCCACTTTTCTCTCTCCCTCTGTCTTAGTCACCACTTTTCTCCATCCTAGTCACCACTTTTCTTTATCCTAGTCCTAACTTTTCTACTTTTCTCTCTCCTTCTATTCCAGCCTTCTTTTATTTCAACCCCTAGGTATATCATTTTCTGTCCCATCCCCTTCCTCCATTTTTATTGTCCTGCTTAGTGTGGCTAGCTGGGATGCAGCTTCTCTCTCACCCTCCTCATAGCAGATAATGCTGCCGTTCCACGTGGTTCTCTCTCAGTGTATGCTGGAGCGGGGTTATGATGTAACATCCTGCCCCAGCCTCCATCCACACACACACAACACTTACACAAAACATTGTTTCCTAAAAAGGGACTATTTGCAGGCAGCAGCAATACTGCAGAGAGACTGTTTTGATTGCGTACATGTTTGGGCAGCGCCATCTTTACCTACTGTTCCCATATGTCATTCTTGTTTTGTTAGAATTAACTGTTGGGATTGTTTACTATTGGACAGCGCCGCAGAATGTGTTGGTGCTATTTAAATAATTGAAATTTAGAGTACTATGCAGCAGCTCTCTGATTCTGGTGGGGGAGGTTGGCCTGGTTGGGCCTGTGGCGCTGTATCAGACTGGCACCATTGTGCTTTAAATGTGACCCACAATTAAATGTTTTCTTCTGGATTTGGGTCAGTTGGGAGGAATGATGGTGCACCCTATACTAAATGCATCTCACAAGCGCAGTGTGCATCAAAAACATTCCATTCCATGTTGGTGTTCTTTGCTGTTGAGCCGTCTAACTACTGACATATAGTTCAAGGACTTCTCAATATAGAAGGTCAAAGTAATCAACATCTTTTTTGTGTTATTAGTAAAACGTTACATGTTAATAAAAAAGATGTTTGTCCAATGCAAGGTTTTCTTGTCAGTGCTCTCTCTCCGTGTTAAAAGTAATTTTTTCTTTAAATAGGTCAATATAAAATATAATAGTCTCATCTGTGTCCTATTCACCTTGATCTTTTCTCAAGTGACCTTGAAAGCATTCAGCCAGTGACACATTCACATGAAACAATAATCACAATATTAACAATAATGTTATCACTCATCAGTATTAGTCCCATTCAGTGAAGAGGTGAACAGAATTAAGAGAGGGATGTGATTGGAATCTGTCAGCGTACAAGAACCAGAGAGTTTTGTGAAGTCTTTATTATTTTTGACATTGCACCGGTAGAAATCTAAACTGGAAATAACTGCCGGACACAACAGAGATTCTTATCAGACTGGCTGAACCACATAACAGCTCATTGTTGTTATTTTTGATTACCCGGTGGTGAAGTCACGCTGGCTTGAGTCTTTATAGTTCACCACTACAAAAAAAGATTAGATAATGTTGGTATTTGGATAGAAACATCTCAAGTAAAACTTCAAACACACATTTGCAGTCAGTCTGGAACTTCTAATCCACAGATTTAGAAATCAACAGATATATAACCCATTGTATAGCGCTACGGAATTTGCTGGCGTTATATAAATAATAATAATAATAATATATTTTTTTTTTGTTTAACAGTCATGCACAATTAAAGTATCCGTGTGCAAAAGACATTAACAAATAAGTGAACAAGAATTACTTAAATGTAACTGCGTTCTGTGTTATCTTTGGGAAGTCTTATCTTGTGATCTGTGCCTGCTTCCTCTGCTAAAAAATAAATTTTATAACTTCTTTTCATTTTATTACGTTTATTTTTTAATAAACGTAATAAAGACCAGTGTTTAAAGGGTTAATCCAACACAGAACAGTATATTAATAAAGCACTGTTTATGTTTGTTTTAACCCTTTCTGGAATGGTCCCTCACTTTAGAAAAACGTAAAAAAAAAAAAAAGAAACAGGAAATAAAGCTAAAAATTAATGGAGGACTGTGTCTGTTGCCAACATGCTTTGTGTGCTGAGGACACGTCAAATATGCACAGAATTGAGAAAAGGCTGAAGCTTTCATAATGGTGAAGTTACTCCTCCAACAGCAAAGGGTTTGAACTCTGTGTGTACAGCGTTTCAACCCGAAAGACTGCACATTCAGACACCAATCACCATGCCCACTTCAAGTTACTGAAGTAGTCATGGTTCTTGGAATAACCCTTTAACTATTGTTTGAGCTGTTAGCTAAATTTGAGGTACATTTACAAAGCTAGCTTAGAATTCCTCGTTAATTATTTATGTGACGGACCCTGTGGTCACCAAATCCAGGTACATGTATCTCCAACTCTCACCCTCTCTAAAAAGACTATTATCACTATGGGCTGACCCTCCATTCCGTGTCTCCCGACCCAACCGTACTTAATCGCAGTCCCAGAATCACCCTTTACCGGCCAGAGAACCACTGAGACACGGTGCGCCTGACCGGGAGTAACTCTGAACCCTTCTGGAACTCTCAGTCCCTGGACCAGCAAACATGGTGCTTTTAAGAGGGTTAACAGAGGAGGTGGTGAGGCATCAAATGACACCAAGGACTTGGGTAGCTCCATGTACCCACAGACAGTGCTGTGTGTTTAGGTGACTGGGGATTTCTACCCAGCACTCTGGAACCCTGGCCGGATCTTTTTGGACAAAATGGGCGCTCCATAGAGATCTTTCCAGGGATGTATGTCATGAGGGGGTGCTTCAATATATTATATTATCTTGTGTTTTCAGGGGTTTTAAGTATTCAGCTTTCTGTGTCCGGGAGATAATTAGTTTAACCGAGAGCTGACTCTTTTATCTCCCAGACACAGATGCGCCTGGGTGGGCTTGTGTTATTCTGAATGGAGAACCCATGCTGAGTGTCTGTGTGTAAATTTGTGTACTGTGAGCCAATAAAACAGTTCTTTTTCACCATTCAATGTTTGGGTTAGACACCGGTACTTTGCAGAGGAGGGACAACCTAGCCGGTAGTAACCAATTTTCGCAAGGGTATACCACCACAATTTATACCAATAAGCACTGTAACTACAAGATAACAAATACTCTATGCGATACCTAAAATGTCTGTTCAGAACTACCGAAAAAAAACACACCCCCATATTAAAACTTAATAGGCTAATTATACACTTGTCACCTATTAAGAACATCAATTCACTTGGTTGCCTATAAGCTTAAAGCTGTGATATAATTCAAAAGCCAGTGAAAGTTTAGTAACGGCTTATCAAGACTAAAGTAATATTCCAAGCACCATAACTACTTTGCACCAGTGTAGTGGTACCAAGCGTGCCCAGGCGCCATGACAAAGTTAGTAGACAAACTATTTAAGAACATTTTGACAACTTACCTGAGGTCTGCAGGGTGCCCGCGCCTGCTCTGGAGCTGGGATCATTCAAGGAACTTGAGCTGAGCTCTGTATTTCAGAGCCGGCTCATTGGCTGAGTGCATCATTGGCCAGCTCATTGGCTGAGTGCGTCATTGGCCAGCTCATTGGCTGAGTGCATCATTGGCCAGCTCATTGGCTAGGTGCGTAATTGGCCAGCTCATTGGCTGAGTGCGTAATTGGCCAGCTCATTGGCTGAGTGCATCATTGGCTAGCTCATTGACTGCATGGTCTGTTCTTAACTTACTGGAGGAGCTTTGTGCTATCACAAGGAGTTCATTTTCTTTAAAGATTAATAATGCAGCAATGTGTCAGTGTTATATATTTAAAATTTTTATTTAAACTACAGTGGGACCTTGGTCGACAAACGCCTTGGTTAGCATAATTTTCAGTTTACAAATGAAACTCCATTGAAAATAATGCCTCGGTTTGCAAACTTTTTTCACAATACAAAGCAAGTTTCTCCAGGGTGTATTGCACCTAGGAGGTTTATAGCACCGCCCCCTGCATGCTGGAGCCTGCGAGTAGCACGTGGCATAGAGGGTGAAGGTGTTGGAGCGGCTTTTGCATCGAGTTTTGGAGCCATTCTGGAAATTGTTTGCCGTTGTTTTGGGACTTTTTGGTGCATTTCTCAAGCTGTGGAAAGGTAGGGAGCTGAGCTTCGTCGTTTGCTTGCCTTTTATTGTGTGTTCTTCATTGTGGGTTGGTTTCCATGCCAGCTCATTTTGACTTTTTTTCTGACCCCAAGGACGGATTAATTGGTTTTCAATGCATTCCTATGGGAAACTGCGTTTTGGTTTACAAATGTTTCGCAATAAGAAACATCCTGGGGAACGCATTAAATTCGTAAACCGAGGTCCCACTGTATTTTATCTTTGACATGATAAATCGTTAAGTGTTTTAAGAAAATTTTCCTGTTTATAAATGAGAATCAACAAGAATTTTATTTAAAATATCACCTTCTTATTTTTAAATGTCCATTTGCCAATAGCCAGGTTTTCCCTTGCAGACAGTGTGTGCCATCAGTTAGACTCCTTCCCATGCTATCTTATATACCGCACCCATAGCTGTTAGGTTGTAATTGCACTGAATTTGCAAATTAAATAGAGGTTTTTATTGCGGTGAAAAGGGAACTGGAGATGGAAGACATGTTATGACTTGAAAGACTGGATGTGAAGTACATGATGTCTCAGGTTAAAAGTAGACTTCTGTAGCCCAATATCTTACACTCACCCACTAGTCAAGACCTTGCCTACATTAAAGGGGGAAAAAAACCATTTCTGTGGTGTTTGCACTATTGAATAAAACATTAAAAATCAACTATAACTTGTGTTAACGTCTTTACATGAGATGGCCTATTTTCTTTTAAATTTACATGAAATATTTAGCAAATTACATCACAATCCAGTTCAGAAAAGGCAAGATCAAGGAAAACATGAGCAGGAGAAATAGAAACGGTATTCTCATCATGTCCCGGTAAACTTTCTCTGTACTGACCGTCTGTTGCAAAGGACAAAGTTTATAACATTGATTATAACAAGTGCATCACTTTAACACCATGCTTCTTAAGGACGGTTGCCTGGTGTCCACAGGTGCGGAAAATAATTAGATTGGATAAAATCATCCTATTTCATTATGGAGGCGGAACAAGGCGGAGAAGGGGGCCGGGGACCTAAATAGCCATTTTACCACTATAGTGTCAGGAATACATGTTTGTTTTCCTGACACTATAGCGTTCCTTTAAGTTATTTGTTTTCAGACTAAATAAACAAAAAAACTAAAGTCTACGTTGATTTTACCATTTGTCCAAAAACGAATGCACATGTCTATTCGCAGCCTCAATTATACAAAGAGTAACGTTTAAGTATTGATTAATAAGAGATATATTTTACTCAAAGTAATTAAAGGACCACTCTAGGCACCCAGACCACTTCAGCTTAATGAAGTGGTCTGGGTGCCAGGTCCAGCTAGGCTTAACCCATTCTTTTATAAACATAGCAGTTTCAGAGAAACTGCTATGTTTATGAATGGGTTAAGCTTCCCCTAATCCTCTAGTGGCTGTCTCATTGACACGAGGCGCTTGCGTGCTTCTCACCGTGATTTTCACAGTGAGAGCACGCCAGCGTCCATAGGAAAGCATTATGAATGCTTTCCTATGTGACCGGCTGAATGCGCGCGCATCTTTTGCCGCGCGTGCGCATTCAGCCGACGGGGAGGAGAAGAGGAGGATTGGAGGAGGAGAGCTCTCCGCCCAGCGCTGGAAAAAGGAAAGTTTTAACCCCTTTCCCCTTTCCAGAGCCGGGCGAGAGGGGGACCCTGAGGGTGGGGGCACCCTCAGGGCACTATAGTGCCAGGAAAACGAGTATGTTTTCCTGGCACTATAGTGGTCCTTTAACACTCTATAGCAGGGATAGCCAATAGATTAGATAACATGAAACTACAACTCCCATGATGTTCTGCCAGCCTGACGGACTATGGGAATGTTAGTCTTTAAACAACCCAGGGGTCTACCTTTTAGCCAACCTAGCTCATTACTGTCTGTATGAGGAATACCACCCAATAACAAAGGTATATTTGTTACCATTATTGCTCCTACAAATTATTTCCAGGATGTATTCACTGAGCAGTTCAACAAATCAGTTGTGATACGCTAACGAAAGACAGGAAAAATATAGACCAAAATACTCAATTTGAAACAAAGCTGTGCAAATTCTTTGAGTAGCAGGGTTTTTTTCACTAATGGGGGAGTTCAAAGTGAATTTTTAGTATGAGGCCTAAGTAGACGAACTGGAACCAATTCTCTAAGTCAGCTATAGTTTTCGTTCAGCTACTCTGGCCTTAAATGTGAATAACCCTGTAAATCTATCATGGACGTTGGCAGCAAGGGTTAGTGTGAAAAAAAACCATTGTTTCTCGTCAGACGTCAGGGTGTGGTTTTTATAACAAGTCCTGTCTTAACAGTTTCAGCGCTGGACACGTTAGTAGAAGTACAACTTTCTAGAGCAAAAAAATTATAATTATGAGCTATGGCAGTGTCTTATTTTTTAATTAAATTATTTTAATTACTGTGACGCAATGCTCGCTTGTTTTGTTTTTATTGTTGTTTTCTTTTTAATTTATTCTCTCCCTGTGTTCCCAACTCCCAAGATGTTTCGTCTAGGTAACGCCTTGCCTTTCTGAGGAGACAGGAATATATAGAATTTATTTTCCTCCTCCCGCAGAACAATAGGAAATGTTCTTTACTGTTACACCTATTTTTATATCTGTACCGAGTTAGAAAATGTTGCTGTAAGCAAAAAGGGCAACTCCCTTTCTATTATTTTTTCATCTTAATTTTATTTTCTGTCCTGCATACTTTATTTGCCAGCACGCACACTTGTAAGACTTGTATAAGGAGCGCTGAATAAGCTTCCAAGTGCACACCCTTTCCTGCAATTTTTTCCAGACAATTTTTTTTTCTCTCTCCAAGCAGTCCAAATGTATGTGCCAACAGAAAGGGAATTAATATCAGTGGGAATTCAACATAAATATAGACTTTCAGACTTTCTGTTAACATGTCAAAAAACAACAACTTCCGCCCATAACTATATTATTAATTTAACGTGTGCATCGTTTGTATTAAAATTTATAGATTATTTTAAGTGCTCATTCACTAAACAGCAATTTTAAGCAGTGTACAAACAGCAGCTCTTCAGAGACCAAAATAACCTGATTGGAACCATTTCCCTAAAGAGGACTTGATTCCAAATTGGTTGCTTAATATCAGCTGTATACTGTTGTTTTTACTAACAGCCGATAGATATTTGCAACCAAAAATACAAACTTGCACCATTTTACCTTCAGGCCCATGTTTGGCTAATGTCCACCCAAACTCATTTACCTTTTAGCGACCAAGATATAAAGCCCTAAAATGTGTGGTTTCTAAGTTGGTGATATAGCAACCACAGTTGGACAGTATAATAGGAATACATTTCATTAATATGTGAATATTACTGCATTGCTATAAATTGTTAAATATATGAAGATACAAAGGTTTTTTCGCACTTGTATAATGTAGTTGACAGTTTGAAACACCCCAAACCAGAGAGAGGAAAAGAGAGAATCAGCGCCTTCATGTGGTCCTCAAATCCAGGTAATTATGAAATGAGAGAGAGGACAAACAAAACGAATATAATGTAGTAGATTAACAAATGGACATGGAGGAGAAAAGGAGGAATTGCACTTCCTGTGTTTTGGAGCTGTAGAGTAGCTCCAGATTCTGCACCTGGGCGGTACATTCCCTGCCTAAGGATATAGACTTGATCCAAAGGGTGTGGACCAGAAATATAAAAGAAACAGAAACACAAATATAGTGTAGTACGTCAGGGATCCAATATAGTGGGTAAAGTATATGTACAGTGCACAATCACATTTTATGGAGCCTTCTAAAGGCTCCTTGTGTAGTGCTTGGAGTGGATTGATCCCACTTTGGAATGTGTGTGCGATTCCCACCCTTGAAAATGTAGCAATTAAAATCCTCACTGTGACATATGTAAAAGCAAGTAATAATAAATAGTGCACACTGTGCGATAAATTAAATAGAAATAACAGGAGATGTAGTCCCTGACTTGGAGCAAAACTTGGTTTTGATCAACCCAAAGGTTTGGTGGGATGTTTCCTACCAAAGAAGAGTTTCTCCAGACGTCTGGATAACAGGAAGGTCCAAAAATTATTAAAAAGATAACAAACTAACAAATTTTACCCATTAAAAAAGGATTTTTCCAAGTGAAATGGCCTATTTTAATTGTACTTTTATTGTTTTTAATATTGCTTTTCAAATAAAGTTTATTCAAATAAACCTTTGGTTTCATTTTCAATCAGATGTTAAATTGCATTAGAAGTGTTTATCTCTTGCTCTGTAAATTGAACTTTAATCACACACAGGAGCAGGAAATTCTAAATTAAACAGATTGTGCATTAAAGGATGCTTAAACATTAGATCTATATTACATAAATTGTTTAAGGAGGCTGTACAAGTGACACACAGGGAGGTGTGACCATTGTTTTTATAAACAATGTGATTTAACTCCTAAATGGCAGAGAAGTGAGCAGTGAGACTGCAGGTGCATGGTTTATACACCAAAACTGCTTAATTGAGTCAGCATCAACTTGGAAGTGACTTTAAAGGAACTTTCCACTGCCCTGGTGGGGAAAAAACACAGTTTAGCAATTATACCCCCAATAAAAACATACAGTTCACTTGTCTGAAGTCTTTGCAAGCCATCCTCTTCTTCCCTAGCCTATACTTTCTGTGGCTGTCCAATCACAGACTTCGCAATGCAGCTCAATGAGAAGTCTTTGCAAGGCAGGTGCTCTGGGAAATTGCTCTCTCTTGATTTTAGCTCCACTGAGTGAAACAAACAGGAAATAACAAGACTGGTTGTCTGATTGACAGTTAGGGGTGTAAAAAGGTTAATTATTTCTGTTGAAATCTGGACTTTTGTAAAATAAAAAAGAGGACATCCTTCACACACACAGCACTTCAGCAAGCACTTTAAGTGCTGCAGAATTTAAAATATGCACATTTAGATCAAAACCTTCAAAACACATATAAGTTGTGTTGGTGTATGAAATACTTAACGATACGGTTAATTCTAATAATATGGAAAGTGTTCAGAGCAATTGCAAATTTTATAACAAGATAGCTAAACTGGAAAATTGTTCAACTCAGTTGTTTTTCCAGCTCATGTACATTGGCCTGAAAAATATGACCCTAGTTTTGTTAATTTGTACTTTATTTCCATACAGACTGACATGAACAAATGTATTAACTAGATACCAAATCGTTGCAAAGTAAAAATCGAATTTTACATTTTAGCTAACAATATGGGTATTTTAGCTTATATTTTGCAATGTGCTTTGAAATTTAAGGGACAGTATAGGCACCCAGATCACTTTATCTCATTGAGGTTTTCTAGGTTCAGTGCCCCTGTCATTTTTTTTAAAACTGCAGTCTTTCAGACAGCCACTAGAGGCTCTTCTTGGTGCCTCATAGAGTTTCACTCCGTGAAACAAGGTTGGATGTCCTCACACTTTGCAATTAATGCTTTCCTATGGGTTTTCATGAGTGTGTATGAGCGCCGAGCATGCGCATTTGGTCCCACCATCACTCTCACATAGTGAGAAGAGGAGACCTAATCAGCACCAAGGGGTCCATGCTGCTGGAAAGAAGTAATTAAAAAAAGCGTTTTTAAACCTTTATTCATCAAACAGTGGTACAGTCAGGAACACTATAGCGTTAGTAATACAGGTTTGTATTCCTATCTCTATAGTGTTTCTTTAAAGTTTTTCGTAAGGCAACAGAAAATTGCATTAGGCTTGTCAGTAAAAGCAAAAAATTCAAGAAACCACTGTGGTACTTCCAGATGTGGCCAAAATAGTTAAAAACTAAAAGTTCAGTAGTGGGGAAAGTGATGGAAACCATGTTAAAGGATAGGAATGTTGAACATCTAAAAACACATGGATTTCAAGATCAGAGACAACATGGGTTTACTTCAGGGAGATCATGCCAAACTAATCTTATTGATTTTTTTGATTGGGTAACTAAAGTTATAGATCATGGTGGTGCAGTAGACATTGCTTACCTAGATTTCAGTAAGGCTTTTGACACTGTTGCACATAGAAGGCTTATCAATAAACTGCAATCTTTAAGTTTGTATTCCAATATTGTTAAATGGGTAAGGCAGTGGCTGAGCAACAGAGGGTTGTAGTTAATGGAATATATTCGAAGCTTGGACTTGTCACCAGTGGGGTACATCAGGGATCTGTACTTGGACCCATTCTCTTTAATATTTTTATTAGTGATATTGCAGAAGGTCTTGATGGTAAGGTATGTCTTTTTGCTGATGATACTTAGATATGTAACAGGGTTGATGTTCCAGGAGGGATAAGCAAAATGGCAAATGATTTAGGTAAACTAGAAAAATGGTCAGAATTGTGGCAGCTGACATTTAATGTGGATAAGTGCAAGATAATGCATCTTGGACGTAAAAACCCAAGGGCAGAGTATAGAATATTTGATAGAGTCCTAACCTCAACATATGAGGAAAGGGATTTAGGGGTGATTATTTCTGATGACTTAAAGGTAGGCAGACAATGTAATAGAGCAGCAGGAAATGCTAGCAGAATGCTTGGTTGTATAGGGAGAGGTATTAGCAGTAGAAAGAGGGAAGTGCTCATGCCATTGTACAGAACACTGGTGAGACCTCACTTGGAGTATTGTACACAGTACTGGAGACCGTATCTTCAGAAGGATATTGATACCTTAGAGAGAGTTCAGAGAAGGGCTACTAAACTGGTTCATGGATTGCGGGATAAAACTTACCAGGAAAGGTTAAAGGATCTTAACATGTATAGCTTGGAGGAAAGACGAGACAGGGGGATATGATAGAAACATTTAAATATATAAAGGGAATCAACACAGTAAAGGAGGAGACTATATTTAAAAGAAGAAAAACTACCACAACAAGAGGACATAGTCTTAAATTAGAGGGACAAAGGTTTAAAAATAATATCAGGAAGTATTACTTTACTGAGAGGGTAGTGGATGCATGGAATAGCCTTCCAGCTGAAGTGGTAGAAGTTAACACAGTAAAGGAGTTTAAGCATGCGTGGGATAGGCATAAGGCTATCATAACTATAAGATAATGCCCGGGACTAAAGAAAGTGTTTAGAAAATTGGGCAGACTAGATGGGCAGAATGGTTCTTATCTATGTTTCTATGTAAATATCCTTTTCTTTTTACTGGATAGTGAAATGTAATTATTTGAAAACTGAATTGCAAAATCTAGGAAAATATTTCTAAGTTGGAAAAATTTACCAGTTATTATACATCTTTCCTTTCACCATGATTCACTGTTTAATGAATAAACCATAAAGTCAGTCATTTGTGAGGTTGATATGAACGCTAGAATGGCTAATATCTACTGCAGCTCATTGCAGTGGATATGGTGCAAAAAGAGATTGTTCAAACTGTTTTCAAATGGCTTGACAAAGTACCTGTGACATACTCCCCTTCCCACATGAGTTTGCCACGAGCTCCTGGAGGATCCTGCTTGCCAGCCTTCTGCCCACGGACTATGGGCCCTGCAGGGAAACCTGTAAAAGTCTACCCAACGTGACCGACCGTTAGCACTGATTTCATGGAACTGTTTTGGGCATAGGACAATGTGCATGGTTGGTCAAAATTATGACTTCCATGAAAATTCCAAAACCCCTGAACCAGTCTGGGTGATTTTTGGATATGTTTGTCACCCAGATGGGGGCTATCAGGAGATGTATGTGGGGTTTTTATGTGTTTTAAAGGTATTTTGGGGGGTTTGTAATATTGTATGTTTTTCTGTGCGGGGAGATAATTGAGTTAGTTCAGTTCCTGACTCAATTATATCTCAGATACAGAGGAAGAGTTTATAACTTATAACTAGTCCCCTCTCAGGTCCAGGTGAGGGATTAGCCTGTTTGTGGGGGAGTGTCAGGGGGGTGCTTAACTGTGTCTGAAATTCTATAAATGCAGGCCATCTGGCCAGATTAAAGAATTCCAGTTTGTACTCCCAGAACTATGTGTCTGGTTGCTGAGAGGGGAAAGGGCTAATCACTACTCTAGCTTGTTCCAGTGTGGAGGATTCAATGGGGAAAGTCCTTGTAAGGACTAGAACTCCCAGGACTGAGTGTCGACCAGTGCCTGGGAGTGGATAGAGGGAGTTTCCCCATTCAGCTCCTGGACGGAGTGGTTTCATGACCGCAGTCATGTCACGGCGACTGGGGGCAGGAGTGCTGAGGTTTGTCCCCGGTTCCAGCTAGGAAGCGGTCCTTGGCTGAGGTACCCAGCCGGGGTACAGGGAGCTCCATTACAGTACTCTTTTAAGAATAAATATCTCCTTGTTCATTAGACCAGGCAAGGTTTATTCAGTATTCAGTCATCCAGTTTTAGTGACCATATGTCTACTTAAGCCTCATCTTTCGGTTCCTAGCTCAAAGAAGCCATCTTCTGCCATAAACCATCTTCTTCAGGGTTCTACATGTGCATGCATAGGTGCCCTTTTGTATGCTACGGTTTTTATAAGGGCTTACTTCAGTATTTGAGACCTTTCTGCCTATCATCTGACCTCGTTAACAAGTCATTTCCACATAGGGAACTGCAACATAATTCAAGGGAGAGCAAGGTCTGTGGGGAATGATACATTAACCTGCCCAGATATATTAACTGTGGTGTGAGGGAATTATGGATGTGCATTTCACTACTCTCCTTGTGGTTAATAGTGGACCCCAGTGATCTCCACTTGAATATAACTTAATTCCTTCTGAAGGAACATTTGTTCTGACATGACGATTCATTGTAATTCTTAACCCCTCACATTCTGCCTATGAGAGAAAGGAAGAAGTAAGAAAAACCAGCGTTTAGGGTGCAACCCTTAAGAAAACTTGAACTTGAGATCAGAGTCTGTGTACGAACTGGGGATGGATGCAGGTCTACGGCAGGGCATAGGGGCCTGTTTACTTGTGTATTAGTGAGGATAGGTAGGTAGGAGCAGGTATAGAGATTTGCAAACAAGTACTAGAATTTTCAATAGAGTCCTATATCTTAGTGGGAGGCAATGTACAGACTTATAAAGGGGGATGTATGGGAGATGTGGATGGACAGGTAGATAGGCCTTTCTGACGCATTCATTATAGATTGTAAAGGGACAAGGTGGGAATGCACAAGAGAGTGCACAAGACCACTGAGAAGTGGATTGCACAAGTCAAGGCAAGAAAGGACAGCAGCATGGACCAGCACCATAGCCACTTCCAACTTTAAATAGGGCGGATGCGCACTATGTTTTTGAGATGGAAGCGGCAGGATTTGGTGATTGACTGAACAGGAGGGGAGATAAAAACATTCCAGGCAGTGTAATCTGTTGACACTTATCCTGTCAATACAGACCGGGAGCAGATGATGTATTTCCACAAGATAGCTGTCTGTCCTCTCACCTATACTGGTCACTAGCAAGACCCTGACAGCTTTAGTCTATGCGTTTCACGCACTCCAAGGGCTTTCTCTTACTATCCAACCAATCAAAGCACTCTAGCTGAGATTTAAATGTGTGTGAATTATTGAAGCTTGGAAGCTTATTTTGTGTAAAGCCCTTGCTGTGTTAAGACGGATTAATTTTTTTTGCAAAAATATTTCTTATAGTCGCATCGGTTTTTATGGACTTTTATTTGAACTTTTGTGGGGCAGAAGGAATTAAAGGGACGCTCCAGGCACCCACACCACTTATGACCATTGGAGTAGTCTGGGTGCCAACTCCCACTACTCTTAACCCTGCAAGTGTAATTATTGCAGTTTTTTTATAAACTGCAATAATTAACTTGCAGGGTTAATTCCACCTCTAGTGGCTGTGCAATCACAGGGAGGAGCGGCACGGAGGAAGAAGCAGAGACGTGGGACATCGGCAGTGGTCTTAGGTAAGTCACTGAAGGGGTTTTCACCCCTTCAGCAACCGTGGATGGGTGGTGGGAGGGAGAGGGGACCTGCAGTGCCAGGAAAACAAATTGTTTTCCTGGCATTGGAGTTTCCCTTTAAGAAAAAACAAGACATCTAAAGGTAAGTATGATTTTTTTTTACATATGACTTTAGATTTTTTGGACACCCCCCTGCTCCCCACTATTGTGGTGGGGAGCTTGGTGATTGGTGACCCTTAACCACCTGGAGGTGGCGCTTGGCCACAGGTTTGGGTTAGATAGACAATGTAAGTTCATCCCCTCTTGTCATCAATACTTCCCATTTGAGGATTTCTTTATTTTTCAATAGTCCCTGTCCTCAAACCATGCTACCCCCTGTTTATTACTTAAAGGACCACTATAGGCACCCAGACCACTTCAGCTTAATGAAGTGGTCTGGGTGCCAGGTCCATCTAGAATTAACCCTTTCTGCTGTAAACATAGCAGTTTCAGAGAAACTGCTATGTTTATAATAGGGTTAATCCAGCCTCTAGTGGCTGTCTCATTGACAGCCGCTAGAGGCGCTTCCACGCTTCTCACTGTGATTTTCACAATGAGAAGACGCCAGCGTCCATAGGAAAGCATTGAGAATGCTTTCCTATGGACTGGCTGAATACGCATGCGCGGGAAAGAAGGAGGAGCGTCCCCACCGCCCGGCGGCGGAAAAAAGGTAAGATTTAATCCCTTCCACCTCCTAGAGCCCGGCGGGAGAGGGGCCCTAAGGGTGGGGGGGACCTAGAGACCCTATAGTGCCTGGAAAACAAGTATGTTTTCCTGGCACTATAATGGTCCTTTAATAGCCCCCATCAGTAGTTCATGGGTAAGGCCTTCCATATGTCCTCCCTTTTTTTTTAAATTTACAAAAGCCACTGCATGGGACCATGGGAATAAACAGTGACCTATCCACCCTCCATTATCTAATTGTCAGCCAGCCCTTGCTTGTATTTTAAATAGTGATTGGACATCAATAGCTACCCTGTCACTAGTTTTTAATTATAGCGAGCAGCTGCTGGCTGCGCACTGTTTGGTAGACATGCCTACACCTTCGTAATGGCTCATTTGACCTAAGGAAGGTATTAGACCTCTCTTATACAAAATGGGGGTCATATTGAAGACATAGGCTCTTTTTTAAACCATGTTCCCTATTGCAGCTAGTGCTGCCAAGCAAACAAATATTTTTAAAAAAAAGTATTTATCGACAACTTTAATTGTCGAATCCTTTAAGGCCATATATCAGGCAATGTACACAAAATAAATGGACTTAAATGACCTAAGCCAATATTTTTATTGTAAAGTATAGGTATTGTTTTTTGGAAAATTACCAGATATTTAAACTGAGAATAATAATATAATAATAACAACTTCTGTTAAGCTTTTAGGGGCTTTAATTGAATTGATCCAAACTGATAAAGGGCTTAGCGGGAGCAATAAACTGCTGGAAAAAAAAACTATCATCTCTGATTAAATTAAGGCCAAAGTGGGATAAATAGAAAAGGTGAAAATATAAACCTAAACATGTTCCAGATGTTTTTTTATTGGTAGAGTGTCCTTAAATTACTAATATTGACCTCATTTTGTATTTGAGCCCATCACGTGCTATCTATATGTTTCAGCTACTCTCCATGACATCTCCCAGCTTAGAATTCATTACATGTCAAGGATTGCAGTAGTCAAATCTGTGGCTAAGATTCAACTGCTTGAAATTCATCTTTTTTCCCACTCAGACCTAGCACCGCGTTGGACCACCAATGACTAAGTAAGCTGAGATGTGTTGAATGCTGCGCTGTAGCAGACAAGCAGATGTTGACATATGACTCATCCCAGCCAGACAGAGAGGCATGAGCCAAAAACCAAAAGCTTGTCTCCTACATACCATTACATACAATTATCTCACCAGGCCACCCCAGAACATTTGTTTGCAGGGAGTTCCGTGCTCACTATACAATGCTGAAGAGCATATAGAGATTGAAGCACTTTTGACCTTTGGGATTTTGAATCCCTGCATCCATAGCCACAAATAACTGGAGAAGATAGCAGTTCACCTCCCCCCCCCCCACCCCTTCCCTCTTGTTTCCTCAGATACATATAATACAATTTTCTTTGTTTTTTTGTTGTGTGTGTTTCTGATGCACGGATTAAAGACGCTGATTTGTAGAAACCTTACACAAACGTATACTTGTTTTTTATTTTCTGTGTTTTTCAAGACCTACCACATACCAAATGTTCAGGATCATTCTGAAATCCACAGTTTTTATTTCTTGGATCTTGTTATTTTTATTTCTATCCTTTGCTTATTTCAAAAGTTAAATAAATATTCTGTTTCTTTTTGTGTTTGTGTTTAAATTTGCGGTTTTGAATGTTCTGAAATGTTTTCAAGTTAACTACTTCATCTTAAAAACAAAGAGAACATTACTTGCGCTCTGGCCTAAATCCCCATGTACATTTAAACAAAATGGAGGCTCTTTAGTTTTATTCCAATGGCTATTTGAATATATAAGCTCACCTGCCACGTCAAGGCAAGCTTCAATAGGCGAGTTCCTACACTAGCCATTAGATATGCTGATATCAGCCAAGAATCTCCAGTGAGACAGGAAGGGGTATTTTATAAACCCTTTCACATTTAACCCTTTATAGGGCTTCTACACATACAATAAACTTTGCTGCAACATTGACCCGTTTGATTGCATGACCAGTTTTAGCTAATGGTCAGGGCAGGGTTAACCCCTTAAGGAAACATGACGTGTGACATGTCATGATTCCCTTTTATTCCAGAAGTTTGGTTCTTAAGGGGTTAAATACATGACCCACATTTTCATCTGCCTCAAGTGTTTGAGTCATTCATTTTCTCTCCTGCCAAGCATCTTTTAATAAACATTATATATTAGTGGTATGGTGCCGGACCTATTTAATGTGGCTATTTGGTTTGGTAGGTTTTAAGGCCAAAGGTCTTCTCATAACCAAGGAATTCACATGCAAAATTAGAAATGAAGCTGATCACACCGGGTTATCCTTCAACCTGTCTGTTGACGATACCTTTCTGTATATCTTGAAATAAGTAGCTCATCTGTGATTCTTAACTCACATCTGTGAGTTAAGAGCCATCACAGTATCTGTAGAATATTGTCCCCATTGTTAAAAAGTTTGTGGTTTTATCTGTGATCCTTATCAAATACAACAAATAATTTGGAATTTAGTTCCACAACTAAGAGACAGACATCTGATAATAGTGGAATATAAAATGACTGGCATATGGATGCAGTGAGCCCACACAAGTACCAAACTGTGGTCCATCAAAGGTGTTCCATTTTGAATGACTCCTGGTTGCAAAGTCGTCTGTTAAAACCTTATTGAAATTGTACTCTATTGGCATCTAGACCATTGCATCTCAATAAAGTGGTCTGGGTGCCATGTTGCACCCGTTTTAACCCTGCAGCTAAAAACATTGCCATTACGCAGGAATGGCAAATTTTCAATTTCAAGATTAACCTATCTCTAGTGACTGTAATAGTAACAAGCACTAGAAGCACGCTTATGAAATAGGGTAGTAAAATGATCTCTATGAGACCATCTGATTGGTGCAGTGCAACCTTTTACTTTAAATTGACTGAGATATTGTTTCATTAAACAAACACTATACAATTAGGAATAGACATTTGTACCCCCAATGCTTTAGTGTTCCGTTAATGAAACTATGAAACTTGGTACTATGCTGTTTGAAGCAGGGTTAGCCCCTTAGACCCAAATACCTATGTCTCACATTCCTGTCTTGGTGTTCCTCTGGTTTCGGTTCATGTAAATGGTGAATGTTTAGGGTATATCATAAAACATTGCAGCAAAAAAACTAATATGAACATGCAGGAGTGTGTGAGTGTATTACACAGCTACATAGTAATAAAGTAAACTGTAATCAGGGCAGAACCAAGGGGAGATCACAGGGCAACTGTCCATCCCTGAGCCTCCATGGCCACACAGGAGGGAGAAGCAGGTACTTCATTATATTTGTATGATTTTTATCAAATTCTACAAGTGGGAGAAGAAGACTATGGACAAAGGGCTTGAAGTAATGTAAGAGAGGTATAGGCAGATGGACACAGGTGGAAGAAGCATGACTATAGGCAGTGACAAGTGGTGGAATTTTGTGGTATGAGTAAAAGTAGGAGAGAGAGATTCATTGTGTGATATGGAGAAATATATAGATGTGGAGATGTGCACTAGTAAGGAAAGGGGGATAGGTAAACACAACATACACCTGCATAAACACACACTAACCCTCAGTACTAATACACCACTGCAGGCAAACATGAGCACCCCACATAAATACACATCTACATTCAAACATCTACACACTAACACTCAACAAAAAATATCTAATACATTTTAAAATCCATAAATTACATATATCCTGGTAAGCCCATTCATTGTGTGCATAGGTATCATCCTTCTCGATTCCACCTACCAGTGCTTATCAGATGTATACATTTTCAAGGTACATGGGTTCCCATGCATACGGTTCCTTATAAATTACATCACGCAGTTCTTATCACGACTTCAGTATAGCGGGAGCTGAACTGGCTTCAGGTTACTATTTGCCACAGATAGTGGTTCTATGAGGCCAACTCCCATCCTCACAAGGACGTTTTTGCCTATCTGCCCAAAGGATAGCTAGAATCTTGCTCTACACCCGCACATTTAGTCCCTCTTACCATTAGGAAGGACATTCTCAAAGTGAAAGACGTCAACCTAGTCTCTTTGCTCAAAGCCCCACAAGATATAATTAAAACAAGTCCTACACCTACGGAGATATTAAAAGCCAGAGACCCAAGACTGAATAAAAAAACTTTCCATACCTGGGTTCATTTTGGTCTTCAGGCTTTATAGAGATGTAATATGTTCTACCTATTCTCAATGTAGTGAAGAACTGGATCTGTATATTCACAAGCTGGTAGACTTAGGGCTTAAGTACGGTTGTTTCACCTCCTATAATTGCCACAAGTTTTTTTCAGCCAAGGCAGCATCTTCTCTGGCTCAATTTACATGGACACTTTATACACCAAAACAACTTAATCTAAATGAAGTTGTTATGGTGCCAGGAAGCCCCCGAAGGCAGTCTTATCTCAAATGGTTAAACTGTTCAAAGTTTTAACCCCAAAGTGCCCTCCAGCAGCAATGTCCACTTCCCCCCAGGCAGGATCCAGCTTCTGAATTTTCAGTATTTAGGAAGCGCAGTGCCATTGGGCACTGATTGTCTGAGAGCAGTCAGCTGATGCTCTCATCTAGTCAGTGACTCCCCATTCACTGAACTGGCTTGAGAAAGTTTTGTGACAATAGCAGAATCTCTCTCGACATCCATGCTAGGACTGATTCGCTATGTGGCATGAGTTTCTTGCTGACTGGAATGGAAGGGCTGTATTCATTCTGCCACCTTTAGATCAATCCCCAACTCTAGAGACCGATACCTCACGAGACTATGAGTTTACTGGCATTTGACAAAACCTTGTCTCTATTTAAGATTTATCCCATAATAGCAGCAGCGCAGATATGGGGTAGGGCTTGGCAAGGTCAATCAGTCAAATGTTATTCTGACAGGCAGTCAGAATTTGAAATTAGCAAGGGTTTTCCTTTATTAACCATCATTAACCATTATGACATTTATTTGAATATTGGCGTGGTTAGCAGCTACTCATTTCTATTTGGTTTGTTTACATGTCCTAGGGTGGCACTATTCTACAGCTGATGCTTTATCCCATTGTAAATGACAGGTCTTCTTCAAACTTCATCGTACAACAGAGAAACATCCCACCAAGGTCCCAGGCTTCCATTACCTGTGAATGGATTAGCTAAATTTATGTCCCATAGCATGTCCCATTATCTACTACTAGTAGGAAGTCCTACAATATGGCATTATGTATCTTCAACAGATTTGTTTCAGAATATCAAATCAATTAATCTTTCTCTGTAGAAACCATGGTTTTTCAGCTTTTTGCCACCTTAATTTTAAATTGTCACATTATACGATTAAATTATACCTTACCGGTATTCAGCACTATTTGCAAACCATATTTCCCAATCACAAAGACTTTATGTTCTCATACCCTATAGAAAAATATACTAAAAGACATTCAATGGTTAGACTGTTTTCAGGCACCTAAACGCCAACCTGTATATGGCCTTAAATTCCGGGCTTTATGCGATCTGCTCGACAAAGTACCTGTTGTGTGCCAAACAAACGCCATTATCAAAACAGCTATATTGCATACTATAGTTTCCTCTGCCCTAAAGAATTTACTATTGAAAAATTATCTGATTCTGACATGTGTCCTCAGTCTTTGACAATGCAAAATTATCAAATTGTCCCACCCACAGAAATCCTGCTATACCCTACTTACAATAATTGGTGCCCTGTGAACATCTTGGATCAGTACTGCCATTCCCTTGCATATTTCACTAGGAACACTCCTACCTCTTTATGGGAAACCCCTGACTTCTGCTAAATTCATTTTGTATGCTAGGCCTTTTTTGGTTACATTAGGTAGGGACCCTTTCGGCTTTTTCAGGGCATTCGTTTAGGATCGGTGCCACGTCAGCTCCATTTAGCAATAATGTTCCAGCCCATGTTATTAAGTGCTTAGGCCACTGGAAGTCAACAGCCTATGAGAGGTACATCCCTCAACTTGAAAATAATTTAAAGCAGGCTTTTTAAGATTTGGCTATGTAATATGTGTATTTCATAATAAAGTTGCATTTTTCAAAAATATATTTGCCTTCTTTATTTACAGATCTACCCGACTGTCATTTCACACGACAACCGACTTGCTCATTTAGGCGTCAGCCTTTGTCCCCAGCCACAAATGTTAAGGCAATAGCCTGGAATTGTGGTAGGGGTTACCCGACTATTTATCCCAGCCTACCTCCTCTCCTGGGCTGTAGTCATTCAGATTGCCCCACCCACTCTCCCCCTTTTCTATTAATCATTACCTTGGTAGGCCTTTTTTATTTACAGGTGTATAAAACCTCCCACAATGCAAAGTCTTCCAGTGCCCCACCCGAGATTGGGTTCTGTATCCGCCTTTGACTGTAATATGAAATGTGTTTGAATGTATCACAGAACTTCATAACAATATCACTTATAATAATAGTGTGTAGAAAGAAAATAATTATTTGTATAAATTATATATAAATTAAATTACATACACTGGCTAGTTATGAATAAAAATGCACAAAATAGTATTTCCTATGACACCATCAGCAACTTACTGTAAGACAAAAGTATCTAATTCTGACCATTTTAAATACAGAGAATTACTTACATAGGAGAAGAAATCAGACCTGCTATTTTATACCTTTTAAACAAAACATGTTTCAATTGAAACTGTGCACAAGTCAAATCATCGGATCCAGAGATTCTCCAAATAACTTATCAAAAACATTTACAAGGTTCTTTATTCTTTTTTATCATTATTATTTTTTTTACGTGAAATATAGCAATAATCCTACTTCTCCTCCTGTGATCGGCAGAGCCAGATAAGAATGTTAGACCCCAATAGCCTTATATAGCAAGTCACCATTGTAATGGACACAAAATGAATACTAAAAAAATGCATTTAAACTAATACTCAATATCTCAATAAAACCACCCGTGTCTCTGAGAAGCTTTGGAATGGAGATTTGTCCAGTGCCTAATGCTAACACGGTGTTGGGCAAAAAGAGGATGAATCATTATCTGCAGAAGCCAGTTCTGCAGCAAATGAAAGGTAAGCTATTAGGGCTTAAATAGTAATGCATTATATTTGCAATGATATATGCATTTTTGCATAAAAAAATCTACATTCTTTTTTTTTTATAAACAGGGAGCTACTGATTGGTTTAGAGCATCAGCTGACTACTCCTCTAAGACATTCATAGGCGCTCTTGCCTGTGGCCAACCTTGGTAATGGTATAGAAGCACCAGGGACTTCCTGGCACCATAACAACTTAATTGAAATGACGCCCAAGCTGTTTATTGGACTGCAAAACAAAATGACCACAATGGTTTAAGAACTTTTTTCCAGCACAGTTTTAAAAACAAAAGATATCACTGTACCAGATGTTAATGAATATAAATGGGTGTTGAGTACTGAGATTCTACTTATTGAGTATGAATGAATAGAAAAATAAACACTTGTATTTAATCATGCGTGATATGTTTAACATAATTAAACATCAGTGTTTGCTGGATAATATCAATACAATTGATTCTGTCTTTTGATAATTTATGTATTAGATTTAAGCCATTTTTAATGGGTTTTCCGAACACATTAATTAAGAAGAATGGGTAAGTGATTGTGAGTTAAACATTGTTTCACACATTGGTGTGAGACCTGTTAATGACGTGTGTGTTATTGGTCTTGAAGGAATAAATACATTCTTTGACTTTGGAGTCAAACATTCTGTTGAAGAATGTTTGAGTTTCAGGGAACATTGTAGGATTGTATTACATATTTTGATTGCAATTATTCTTATGATTGAAACTTCAAGATGTAACAGTTCTTAAAGATCATTTTAACTTGTTTATAGTGTTGCACAAATCAGAATAATTTAAAATAAATGTATATATATGCAGCTCTTTGGCCTACATGCCATATACCAATGCTCTCTATTCTGTGTTTTTCCTAATAATCTTGCCCCTCTTAATTATGATGTTTTTGCTGTACTTTGCATTATTGTTTAAAGCACTTTTAGATTGACCTTTGCTATTATATATGTGTGTGGGGTCGTGCTGCAATGTTTATTCACATTATTTTATACATTTATGGTGATTGGAGTTAAGTATGCAATCCATCATATAATGGGGACAATGATGTGCATGTACTAACCCAACACCATTTAAGTTGATAGTATTGTTTCATCTTGCACTGTTATTTATCCTCAAGACAAACTTCAATTATACCAAATACTGTATAATAAATGCAATTATCGAAAAGCTGAAACCCTGATCAATAGAAACATAAATAGAACACTAGATTATACGTTTCTCCCAGCCATTTAACATTTAGTGTCAAACATATACGGTTTTATTCTATATGTGATATAATACTAGCATAATAGGGTTTTGTTCTATATGTGATATAATACTAGCATAATACGGTTTTGTTCTAGATGTGATATAATACTGGCATAATACGGTTTTGTTCTAGATGTGATATAATACCGGCTTAAACGGTTTTGTTCTAGATGTGATATAATACCGGCATAATACGGTTTTGTTCTATATGTGATATAATACCGGCATAATACGGTTTTGTTCTAGATGTGATATAATACTGGCATAATACGGTTTTGTTCTATATGTGGTATAATACCAGCATAATACGGTTTTGTTCTAGATGTGATATAATATCGGCATAATACGGTTTTGTTCTATACGTGATGTAATACTAGCATAGTACGGTGTTGTTCTATATGTGATATAATACCGGCATAATACGGTTTTGTTCTAGATGTGATATAATACTGGCATAATACGGTTTTGTTCTAGATGTGATATAATACCAGCATAATACGGTTTTGTTCTAGATGTGATATAATACCGGCTTAAACAGTTTTGTTCTAGATGTGATATAATACCGGCATAATACGGTTTTGTTCTATATGTGATATAATACCGGCATAATACGGTTTTGTTCTATATGTGATATAATACCGGCTTAAACGGTTTTGTTCTAGATGTGATATAATACCGGCATAATACGGTTTTGTTCTATATGTGATATAATACCGGCATAATACGGTTTTGTTCTAGATGTGATATAATACTGGCATAATACGGTTTTGTTCTATATGTGGTATAATACCAGCATAATACGGTTTTGTTCTATATGTGATATAATACCAGCATAATACGGTTTTGTTCTATATGTGATATAATACCAGCATAATACGGTTTTGTTCTAGATGTGATATAATACCAGAAGGGTTTTGTTCTAGATGTGATATAATACTGGCATAATACGGTTTTGTTCTATATGTGATATAATACTAGCATAATATGATTTTGTTCTAGATGTGATATAATACCAGCATAATACGGTTTTGTTCTATATGTGATATAATACCAGCATAATACGGTTTTGTTCTAGATGTGATATAATACTACGGTTTTGTTCTATATGTGATAAAATACTAGCATAATACGGTTTTGTTCTATACGTGATATAATACTAGCATAATACGGTTTTGTTCTATATGTGATATAATACCAGCATAATACGGTTTTGTTCTAGATGTGATATAATACCAGAAGGATACGGTTTTGTTCTATATGTGATAAAATACTAGCATAATACGGTTTTGTTCTATACGTGATGTAATACTAGTAATACGGTTTTGTTCCCCAAGAAATAATATTTCACTTTATAATCCATGTTAGGTACTGTTTTAATTTTTCTCTCCACAAAGGGTTTAAAGTAGTGAATAAAACAGTTTTGTTAGAATAGGTTTAAATTTGTTCTCATTTGTTTTTGCAAAAGAAAAACATGCAAATGAACCCGTGGTTTTATTTTCTTTTCTAGTTGGGGATTTCTCATAAACATATAAATAACCCAAACTTCAAAAACTACACCTGTGTTTCGCTGTGAAAAGTGATTCTTTGTTCCTTGTGTTTTACATACACTGTTCTTCCTGCACTATCTTAATTGCACACTTGCGGTATCAGTTTGGCATATCGCCAACACTACAATCAACAGACGAATATATAATCGGAAATACGCACTTCATGCACCTATTTTACTTCCAGTTCTTTTGTAACAAAAAAAATGTGTTAATGTAACTAGCTGAGTGGATCTTAAAATATAGCTAATACCCTAGAAATTTACAATACTCTCAGAGTATTTGTAATATAGTATTTATAGAACAATTATAGTTTCAGAAGTAAAATTTTTTTTAACAATATTTTTTTCTTCAATGTAATTGTTAAAGAGTCAACTTAGTTTATATAATATAATACGAATATGCTTTAAACCAGTCATTCTTTACTTTGCTTTTTTCTTTTTTCTTTTTTTTTTAATTTTCTGAATTATTATAATTAATACTTATTATTGTTATCATGTAATTTGCCTATGTATTTCACAGTGTAGTACAATAGGTGTACTAACACCCAATAGTTGGATCAGGGCCAAAGGCTGTGAAAAAGTTATATTGTGAAAAATCAAAACACTTTGAATTGTTTGTAATTCTGTTAAAAGAATAAATAGACTCTGAAATATTTTAACCTTTGAATTTCTAACCACCAAACCTGTAAAATCAAGCCTGTTTGTAATCACTATTGAAGTTTTTGTTACTCTGCTTTAAAAAAAATTTAAAAAAATTAAAAAAACGTAAGCCTAAAAACCTTTAAAAACTGAAAAAGCTAAAAAAGTGAATAAATAAAAACAAACTTCAATTTATCACCACAGTTAATATAAACCTAAATATTATTATTATTATCATAACAGCCACAGTAGTGACATTTTTGTTTCACGTTACCTTTTTTATTTGTCATCTCTCTTTTAAATTTCTGCTGCTCATTTTATTTTTCTCATGTAGATTTGTTGAAATTACATATCGCTTGTGATCATTCATTTTAAAAATTCCTGTGCTGTCTGGCATTCTTTCATGAAAATTCATTTAGATGAAATTAGATATTATTGTTTAATGAGGTGGCATTTCAATTTAGCCCTAGCATCGTGCATATACCAAGATTTCTTTATGGAACACTTGGGTTCATTTGGGTAATAAAGACTAAATCATAGGGGTTTTAATTCTTCATTGCTGCAAGGATTGTTATCAGTGCGATGTGAGCTGTCTTACAGATATTCAATCAAGTGCCCATTTAGCCATGACCAAAAGTAATTGTTCCCAAGTGGACTGCACAATGACCTGTTAATCTCAGCTTTGACCTCATAACCTTGTGTGTCCAGTTGTTAGGAATATCGAGGGTGAATGTATATGTTATGAGGTCAAACCGAGATCCTAGCTGTGTTGCTTTATTTGCAAACAGTGTAGCATAAATGTACCATAAAGTTATACTATTTTAATTTTTTTTTAAATGTTTTCTGCTCCTGCACATTTCCACGTTATTTTTTTAAAGGATTATAATTTTGTTTATCCGACTTGTCCATAGGGTCCTGCTCTTCACAACCATTAAAAAAAAAAAAAAAAAAGAAAAGAAAAAGGTCCTCACTATGGGGTTCTCTTTATTTTTATATGTAGTTGAAATAATTGCTTAGACCAAAATGCTTGCATTCAAAGAGGTGGTATTATTACTCCATCTGGGCCGGACTGGGGGAAAAATTTGGCCCGGGCATATTTTCATCACATTGGCCCACTTAGAAGGGGGAGGGGCCAGATAGGGTGTGTTTTGTCATCAATAATGACAAGCACACCCCATCTCAAAGTTAGCATGTTGGTTCAATGCTCTTCCAGGGCAGACCATGCGCAGAGCTCTGCTGAACAGCTCTAGCATGAGAAAAAAAACCTGTATATGTTCTGCACAAATACAATAACATGCTTGCCCTGTGTTTACTTGAAACTTGTCTCTGGTGTCTCTATAAATGGATACCAGGAGACAAAAATGCCAGGAAAGATTATTGTGCATGTGTTTGGACCTGCTTGTGGTATTGCGTGTGTGTAGAGTGAGCTGATTGTGGTGTGGTATTGTGTTAATAGGTTGGTTTCAGTCATGTTGTGTTTGTGGTGTAATGTAATGTATGTGTGTCTAGGTGTTGTAGATAGTGTATGTATAGGGGCATAGTGTGTATAGGGGATGTAGCGAGTGTGTGCATACAGGCTGTAGTGTGTGTGTGTGTGGTGAGTATAAGTGATCTAGTGTGTGTAGGGATTGAAGAGAGTGTGT